CAAAACTTCGCCAAGCATGGAATATACAGAACGCGAGAACAAAATACTACTTTCGAGCACGAATTTTCCAGACCGAAAATACTAGATTTAAGAACGTTTCGGTCTTGAATCAAGTATGAATAATTCTTAAATCAAGTCATATTTGGACTTAAAACAAGAACGATTTAATAATTAAGTACGAAAGTTTCAGGAATGATTTAATGACGAAAAATTATTAAGTCAATGTATAAATAATATGAAATTCAAATGAGATTTTTTTTTAATAATGTTATTATTATTTTTTTAAATAATAATAATATTTTAAGTTTACTTACGAATTGCCGCTCATGGGCATTAACACTGTCTAATTTATGCACCTTATATACCGAGTACTTTCAGAATAAACAGTTGAAAATTATAAGAGTTGGCAGACATTAAAAATCCAAAAAGTGCTCAATATGAGAATTTTTTGAGCACGAACGTTCTTAAATGTTAAGCATGCAATTTTTCTTAAATCAAGGCTGTTTTTTCTTGTTTTTAGCACGGTGTTTTGGCCTGAGTGTAGATTCGTCGGAAAGTATGTAATAGGTAGAAGGAAGCGATATCTTGATCAGGATCACTAGCCGAGTCGATCCAGCCATATCCAAGTCTCTTCGTCCGTATAAACGCTGAGATCTCGGAAACTACAAAAGCTAGAAGGTTGGGACTCGGCATGTAAAAACTGAGCTTCTTGCGCAGCGCAAGTTTGTTTCAGCAGGGTGCCACGCCCACAAACGCCAATAACGCTAAAACCCGTCTAGCATCCACATTTTGAATATTAAACAAGGAAGAACGCTAAGTCGAGTGCCTCGACTATCAGATACCCGTTACTCAGCTTTTAAATTGAAAATTGATAATGGTTAATAGCGTTGAGATGAGCGCCTTAAAATCTTAATACGCTTGAAAAATTCGCATTATACACACGCGTTTCGCCATTCAAGATTTATTCGTAGACTAAAGGAAAACAAAAAGATGTACAGCCTTGTAAAGTTTTAAGCCGTCAATTTTACGTACACGGATCTTTAAACGATCTTTGGTTTCTTTCTGGCGCATGTGAATGTACTGCAGGTCAGAATGGAGAGAGAAAACGAAAGTGCAGGAAGCCGCCTCCCGCGTCCCTACCATTGTTTTACAGCAATTAAACTTTTACAGTAAGCCAATCGAAATTGGTATCTATTCTATTTTCCGAGCAGTTCGGCTTGCAACTATTTACACACACACATGTTATTGTCTGCCTCTGACGTCATTGCTTTTCCTGTCTTCTTGGGACAATCGATAGGTATTGATGAAGCCAATAAATTTATGTTTCAATTATTATTCATAAAATTATTAAGCATAAAAACTGCGAGCGTCAAAGATTTGGGCGGTTTGCTGGCGTTAGAGGGTCCATACGAACAGTTCATAGAGTTCATACGAACAGACGGGCATGGCTAAATCGACTCGGCTAGTGATGCTGATCATGAATATATGTAAATACTTTATGGGGTCGGAAACGCTTCCTTTTACCTTTTACTTACTTTTCGACGGATCTATTATATCCTTTTAATCTACGAGTAACGGGCACAATCACATTGTGAGAACTTTTACCAGAATGCCTAAAAGTATGCTCTTTGAAATTCATTAGGGAGCCCCAATGTACATGCATATGTAATATATGTGTACATTCTGTATATTTGACATATTCTATTACGTGATTGAACAACAGTTAACAGTTCTTGACTTTTTAGGTACAGAAATTGGGTTATTGCGAAAATGAATAGGCAATAGATTGGTTTTAAGATGTTATTTCGGTCACTGTGTTTATAATTTTGGTTCCTCAATTATCTTCCGCAGGTATTTTATCATAATTGTTAGCCAAGAATTAAATACATGTACGTTATATCACATACGAACAAGAAAGGAAGTTAGCTTCGGCAAGCCGAAGTTTGTATACCCTTGCAGTTATAAGAAATAATCAATGATAGTAACACCATGTTAAACTTTTAAGTATTGTTGCTAGCTTCAGTGATATATGTGTAAAATGAAATTCGTAATGCTGAAATGTTAAAATATATATAAATTAAAAGAAAACACGATCTAAATCAACAAAATAATTATTTTGTTATTTCTCTGACCGTTTCTTTGACAGCTATATGTCAGAGTCGTCCGATTTTCATAAAATTAAATTCGAAATTCAGAACTAATTCAAAAATGTTATTTCCAAGCGTAGGAAGAAATAATTTTAAAAAAATGTTTTTTCCGATTATTCCTATGGATGCTATAAGATATAGTTGTCCGATCCGGCTGGTTCCGACTTATATACATCCTGCAAAAGAAAGAAGACTTTTGGAAAAGTTTCACCCCGATAGATTTAAAACAGAGAGACTAGTTTGCGTAGAAACCTCCTTGGAAATAACATTTTTTAAATTAGTTCGAATTTAATTTTATCAAAATCGGACGACTATATCATATAGCTGCCATAGGAACGATCGGAAAATTGGTGGGAAAATAATATGAAACAAATTATAGCTTTGGTGTTTTTTGACATATTTCTTATACTATTGGGAAAATCATTTTTTGTATTTTTAAGAATATCGAATTAAGTTTAATATTTATAACTGCAAAAAAAGAATATAAAATTGCTCCAATTGTCAACACACCCAGCTCAAAGACCAATCTAATGTCTTTGATAAGACCATGCTACATGCATTGTGGGTGAACTTTTAAAACTTCGGTCACACTAAAAATAATAGTTTTATACCCTTGCAGAAGGTATTATGATTTCAGTCAGAAGTTAGCGACGCAGTGGAGGAGACGTTTCCGACCCCAGCATCACTAGATGAATCGATCAAGCCCGTCCGTTTTTACGCAAACTAGTCTCTCAGTTTTAAAGCTATCGGGCTGAAACTTTCCCAGAAGTCTTCTTTCTTTTGCAGGTAGTATATAAGTCGGAACCAGTCGGATCGGAAAACTATATCTTATAGCTCCCATAAGAATAATCAGAAAACTTTTTTTTTTAATTATATTTTTGGTGTTTCTTAAAATATAAACTCCTATGTTTGGAAATAACATTTTTTAATTAATTTTGAATTTCGAATAAAATTTTATCAAAATCATATAGCTGCCATAGGAACGATCGGAAAATTGGTGGAAAAATAATATGAAACAAATTATAGCTTCGGTGTTTTTTGACATATTATCTTATACTATTGAAATATCATTATACCCGTTGCTCGTAGAGTAAAAGGGTATACTAGATTCGTCGGAAAGTATATATATACTTGATCAGGATCACTAGCCGAGTGGATCTAGCCATGTCCGTTTGTCCGCGTGTCCGTATGAACGCCGAGATCTCGGAAACTATTCAAGCTACAATACTGGGATTAGGCATGCAGATTCCTGAGATTCCTGCGCAGCGCAAGTTTGTTTCAGCAGAGTGCCACGCCCACTCTAACGCCCATAAACCGCCCAAAACTGTGGCTCCTACAGTTTTGATGATAGAATAAAAATTTTAACTGAAATGTATTGCTCTAATCAATACCTATCGATTGACCAAAAAAAAAGTTTGCCACGCCCACTCCAACGCTCACAAACCGCCCAAACCTGTGGCGCCCACATTTTGTATGCTAGATAAAATATTTAACGCATAATTGTGTCTACCGCCGGTAGGTGGCGCATTTTAATCTCGCTTTGCTGCTTGCATATCTCCATTTCCCTTTGGTCCCATTAGCTGAGTAACGGGTATCTGATAGTCGAGGTACTCGACTATAGCGTTCTTCCTTGTTAAATTTCGGAAAGCCGAAGCTAACTTCCTTTCTTGTTATTTATTGGTTTCCACACCGCTTCCTAACGATCACACCGAAAGTTTAAATTTCTTGTTCCTTGCTCGGTGACTAACGTCGTTTATTGGAAGTATATACTAAATCAGGTATTTTTTTCTGATAGCTTCCTAGCTTATCTGTGTGGGGTTCAAATTTCCGCTACAACGAATTGTAGAAACTTTTTGAATAGTTTTTAAGTACTAAGCTAAATGAATGAAACATAATTGAAAAGATAATGAATAATGGTAATGAATTAGACTTTTCAATAACAGTATCAAAAGCTTATATACCCTTGCAGCTATAATTATTAAATTTAAAAACACAAAAAATGATATTCCCGAAGCTATAATTTGTTTCATATTATTTTCCTACCAATTTTCCGATCGTTCCTATGGCAGGTATATGATATAGTCGTCCGATTTTGATAAAATTAAATTCGAAATTCAGAACTAATTAAAAAATGTTATTTCCGAGCGTAGGAGGTTATATGTTAAAAAACACCGAAGCTATAATTTGTTTCATGTTATTTTCCTACCAATTTTCCGATCGTTCCTATGGCAGCTATATGATATAGTCGTCCGATTTCGATAAAATTTAATTCAAAATTCAAAACTAATTAAAAATTTTTATTTCCAAGCTTAGGAGGTTATATGCTAAAAAACACCAAAGATATAATTTTTTTAAATTTTTTTGTCCGATTATTCCTGTGGGAGCTATAAGATATAGTTGTCCGAAAGTTTCAGCCCGATTGCTTTAAAGCTGAGAGACTAGTTTGCGTAGAAACGGACGGACAGACGGACAAACGGTCAGACGGACATGGCTAGATCTCGTCTAGTCATGCTGATCAAGAATATATATAGTTTATGGGTTCGGTAACGTCTCCTTCACTGCGTTGCAAACTTCTGACTGAAATCAATATACCCTCTGCAAGGGTATAATAATCGAAGAATCTTAATACAGATAGGGTGCCTCCAAATGCCGACTTGACATATTTTAAGTAATGCTTATTTTGGGAATCGGAGCTGAAGAACGTGGGTCCGGAAGATGTTGTTAGGGTTGAACAAAATCAAACTTCTGTGGGCCAAATTGAAGTATAAATTTACATATAAATTTAAAACATCCGTTAAACATTCACTCTAACAAAAAAAGTTTGTATATATGTATAGCCAATCTTTTGGCATTCTATTTATTTGTATTATATAGTACTAGCGATGTTAGTTGGCGACTTTTTCCCTCCCCTCTATAAAACCAAACACATAATTATCTTAATATTATAAAATCTTCATCAATGGAGTAACTTATGTACTTATAAAGGAATTTTTACATCCACCCTCGGCGTTGCTGTTGGTTATGGAGTCCAGCGAAGAGCTCGTCTAGTTTTTCTGCTAAAAAAAGATACTTATATCAGTACAACGTAACCAACTTGTTTTTCGCTAGAACTTATTCTCTTCGCTAGGACACGTTCGGCAAGAAGTCCATATAAGGAGTGAAGTCATTCTTCTTTTCGATAGGGTTCTCCCAGGATCCCCCGCTTCTGATTTGCCTTGTTGTAGAACTTGTTTAAGGCTCTTCCAAGCCGTCTTGCTACTATAGCCTAAGCAATTCATGTATATATGCTTAAAAAATTTGTATAATGCAGGATTATAACTTACAATCTTTGATCATGACGAGCGCTTTCTCCCCCAGATTCTCTTACAATACTGGACGATCCCCGTGCAGTCGTTTTTGGCGTGGTTTTTTAGATTCTGTACAAACACATTAACGGATTACATTTTTTAATTTTTCCGCGGCGTCTAGCAAGCGTTTGTTCAAATTCACTCAGGGTGACTGGTATTTTTTCTGGTATTTCAATAGTTCATCTGAGTACCGTGGTGAAAAAGGCCATGGCTCACAGATTTCTTAGATGTGAGTAGGCTTCAACAAACAAAAAATACGGAACCAGACTGAAATGGCAGCACTGACTTATCGATTTTTCTGATGACATCTGGCGGGTTGCGGCAAAATTTAAAAATTGACATCAGCGTGGCAGCAGTCGTCGAAACGATCCAAATGTTCTGACGTAAGATCCAAAAAGGAAATATTTACTTGCTAACAAAACCGAACCAAAAAACAAAAAATGATTTCGCATTTTGCTATATAATAAAGTTACTGAAGGTCCCTATTTGCATGTCCCTGTCTAAGATGATTTAAAATTGCCGAGTAAATCACCGCCGAACAGTATCGCCACTGATCAGCTGCTCAGTTCCACCTCGACATCCAAACGCACAGCCAGCAGAACAGAATCTCCGGGTTTCCATATTTTGCTGCCCTATGGGAAAAACACAATTATTACTTACCATTTGGATATCCGCGCAAACTGGAATTAACTATGTGCTTTTTGGCAATGAATTCCCTGAATAATAACGCGAAGCAAGTGAAATATGTGCGAAGCCATAGCTCAACTGTTAGTTCAATATAAAACATTTAATAAGTACATTTTAATACACACAATTGCCCAGTGTTCGAAATAGAATTCGGTTGTACATGTGTAAGAATATAAATAAATACCAATAGATGATTATATATGTACTTATGTACAATTGGTACGTGTTCCTATAAATGTTTGTTATCGCTAAAATTTTTAAGTACATACACGAACATATTCACACAAACACTCCCATACAGGCATATGTGTTTATTTGCACGCATGTGTATATTTATGATGGTACATTTATGGTATCTGATTTACGTAGCTCTCTTTGAAAAGGGGAATACTGCACTTTCAACGATGAACTGAAGTTCAAGAGCACAACAATTTATTATGTTTATAAATGGTTTTAATTGAATACAATAGAGTGGTCATCAAGAGGACTCATGTGAAACGTTTATGAACGATCTTTGCATATATGTATGCATACACATGCACGAACTAACTTGTATGACTGTGTGCACACTAGGGTGGTCGTCTTCCCATTGAGGCATTCTGCTCTCAAGACAAGACGATCCCAAACAATGCATATAGTACGGGTTTTAGTTTCAGATTTTTAAAATCAGTCGGTGCCATACGATTCTGTTACTTCTTTTGCTACATTCATAATAAAAGATCTCGCAGTCTGGAAACAGTTTTATATAAGCTGGTTAAAGTCAAAGGTTTAAGGTACATACATTCGTTGTTAAAATTCGAGGATTTTGAATGTAATTCTTGTGCTTTTGAAATATCAAAAGCAACATACGCATGCATGTACAACGTACATATTAACATATGTAATGGGAAAATGTTTACAAGTAATGACATGGATACATACTAAAGACCAGCACGAGTAAGTGAAACTATACTCGGGGTGATACTTGGATGCTAACTGCTTCGTTATCGGTTTCTTAAGTACAAGGGGAAATTATATGAGTAAATTGCACTTAAACTTAATGGCTTCGTACTCGAAAAATCCAGGAACACCATTACTTACAATCAGTGGTACTCACTTATGTAAAAATGTATCAAAAACAGAAAAACCTTATACATTTCTTAGAATGAATGGAAATGACGAAAACACAACAAAAGAGTCAAGTAAAAGACTTTAGGTCTAGAGAGAACGCTATAGTCGATTGCCTCGAATAACATATACCTTTACCAGCTATAGGGAGCTGGAGATTTGCAAGCGGCAAAGCGATTGCTTCCGGTTGCGCAAACTGGCTCCACCTAGCGGTGCAAAACGTAGTGTAACAAACCAATAATGACCGCAAAGAAAGCATTTCAGCTGCTAAGCTTGTCCGTTGTGAACTTAAAAAGAAGAAAGGGCCGACTATCAGACCCCAGACGGAGATGTTCATGCAGCAAAGCGACTTTTTCCAAGATTGCAGGACGTTACCCAGCGTCGAAATCAATACTCGATCGTAGCTTCCTAATGAATGGTCCGATTTTAACCATTTAAAGATAGTTAGATAGGTATTAATAAACGTAGCCAAGTCCGATTTACAAAAAATGTGGGCTTGGTATACTTTTTAAGGCCAAAGTAATTGCTTAAACCCAACTTTACAGCTTTTATAGTTTCCGATGTCTCATCGTTTATACGGACTGTCGATAAGATTTATTGGGCGGTGTGTGGGCGCGGCATGTTTGGATAACTAAATTGCGCTTTTTGAGTTACTCGATAGGTATTGCCGAAAAAATGCATTTCAGTTCAGTCTTTTTATTATAGAATCAAAGCTATGAGCGACACAGTTCTGCGATTTGGCGTAGCGCAAGTTTGATTCATAGCTAAAAAAAAAACCGTCTAGCACCCACATTTTTAAATATTTTTGGAAAATATATCTCTACCTCCCTCACAGTGTGCTCCCAGTTAGCTGAGTAACGGGTATCTGATAGTCGATGGCATCGTATAGTGTTACTATTCAAAACGAAAACAAGGAAGAACGCTATAGTCGAGTACATCGACTATCAGATACCCGCTACTCAGCTAAATAGAGATATGCAAGTAGCAAAGCGAGATTAAAATGCGGCACCTACCGGCGGTATACAGATTTAAGCGTTATGGGCGTTAGAGTGGGCGTGGCAAATTTTTTTGGACCAATCGATAGGTATTGACGAGACCAATACATTTAAGTTTAAATTTTTTATTTAGCATAAAAATTGTGGGCATCACAGGTTTTCGCGGTTTGTGGGCGTTAGAGTGGGCGTGGCATATTCGCGTAACAAACTTGCGCTGCGTATAAGGCTACGGAATCTAAATCTGAAATCCCAATTCTCTATCTTTGATAGTTTCCGAGATATCCACGTTCATATTTACGATTTTTTGAAGTTTGTGGGCGGTTTATGGGCGTTACGATGGGCGTGGCAATCTTTTTTGGGTCAATCGATAGGTATTGATGAGAACATTACATTTCAGTTAAAATTTTTATTCTAGCATCAAAACTGTAGGAGCCACAGTTTTGGGCGGATTGTGGGCGTTAGAGTGGGCGTGGCACTGTACTGAAACAAACTTGCGCTGCGTAAGAAGCTCAGGAATCTGCACGCCAAATCTCAATAGCCTAGCTCCCATAGTTTCCGAGATCTCAGCGTTCATCCGGACAGACAGGCGGACAGACGGACAGGGCTAGATCGACTCGGCTAGTGATCCTGATCAAGAATATATATACTTTATGGGGTCGGAAACGCTTCCTTCTGCCTGTTACATACTTTCCGACGAATCTAGTATACCCTTTTACTCTACGGGTAACGGGTATAAAAACCAACGATGCTGATCAAGAATAAGCGAAAAACCCCAGCAGCAAAGTGACTCTTTCCGAGATTTTAGCGCGCTATCTAGCGTCGATTACATTTCTTGTTCATAACTTCTTAATGAGTGATTTGAACCATTTTTGGCATGAAGATGGGTACTGAAAGTCAAAATCACAATGTGCAATGTGGACGCGGGAAGGATTTCAGAGTTATTGCGATTCTTGTCTTGTTTGAATATTATATTAAATTTACTATTGTCTATAGATTGATGTATTCCACTACATACGACTGTTTTTAAGGCTATAGGTACACTTCTTTGAAAGCGTGTTTCGGCTTTTGGGTTCATCGGGTACATACCTACATAATCGCTGAAGATACGAGTTTGAAATTTTAATCGCGTTAAAGGATATGGATATTATGAAGAAAATTGGTATTTTTAACTTTAGAGTAACAGGCAGAGTACAGACGGACATGGCCAGATCGACTCGGCTAGTGATCCTTACCAAGAATTTATATATATACTTTATAAGGTCGGAAACGCTTCCTTCTTCCTTTTACATACTTTCCAATGAATCTAGTATACCCTTTGACCCTACGAGCAACGGGGCGTTTTCCTTGACCTACCTAATATTTTATTTTGATTTTAGTTCCGATGATAGCTATATGATATAGTCCTCTAATTTTTACGTAGTAAAATTCGAAATTCCGAAATCGTAAATTTGCTATATACTAGAGTATAAGACACACAACAAAACAAATATTTGTTTTAAAATATTTTTTTTAATATATTCCAATCATTCTATCGCAGCTTATAATATCAGCATGTCCGCATGTCTTCGTTGTATATTATCACATTCTCTTCTATCCTGGAGTATAGGATTTAAGAATGGCGTATAATATTTGAAAATAATACGGGTACATATATAACATACATAAGTGCCGTAAAAACGATGAAATTATTTTAAATCACAGCAAAACAAATGATAGCTTGGTTGTTTTTGATCATATTTTCCGCTTCCTTAGGGTATGTAATTTTTATAAGAAATCAGAGAGCTGCTTTATGATATGAAAATGAAACAAGAAGGAAGATAACTTCGGCTTGTATACCCTTGCAGTTATAATTATTAAATTTTATTCGAAATTCCTAAAAATACAAAAAAATATATTCCCAATAGTATAAGATAATAAGACAATATGTCAAAAAACACCAAAGCTATAATTTTCATATTATTTGCCCACCAATTTACCGATCGCTCCTATGGCAGCTATATGATATAGCCGTCCGATTTTGATACAATTAAATTCAAAATTCAGAACTAAATAAAAAATTTTATTTTTAAGTAATTTTTATACCCGTTACTCGTAGAGTAAAAGGGTATACTAGATTCGTCGGAAAGTATGTAACAGGCAGAAGGAGGCGTTTCCGACCCCATAAAGTATATATATTCTTGATCAGGATCACTGGTCGAGTCGATCTAGCCATGTCCGTCTGTCTGTCTGTCCGGATGAACGCTGAGATCTCGGAAACTATAAGAGCTAGGCTATTGAGATTTGGCGTGCAGATTCCTGAGCTTCTTACGCAGCGCAAGTTTGTTTCAGCAATGTGCCACGTCCACTCTAACGCCCACAAACCGGCCAAAACTGTTGCTCCTACAGTTTTGATGCTAGAACAAAAATGTTAGCTGAAATGTATTGTTCTCATCAAAATCTATCGATTGACCCAATAAAAAGTTTGCCACGCCTACTTTAACGCCCACAAACCGCCCAAACCTGTGACGCCCACAATTTTCATGCTACATACAAAATTATTATGTATTATGTATTAGTCTCGTCAATACCTATCGATTCATCCAAAAACAAATTTGCCACGCCCACTCTAACGCCCATAACGCTTAAATCTGTCTACCGCCGGTAGGTGGCGCATTTTAATCTCTCTTTGCTGCTTGCATGTCTCCATTTCCCTTTGGTCCCTTTAGCTGAGTAACGGGTATCTGATAGTCGGGGTACTCGACTATAGCGTTCTTCCTTGTTTTAAAATTTGTTTTTCCGATTATTCTTATGGGAGCTATAAGATATAGTTGTCCGATTCGGATGGTTCCGACTTATCTACTACCTGCAAAAGAAAGAAGACTTTTGGGAAAGTTTCAGCCCGGTAGCTTTAAAACTGAGAGACTTTTTAGCGTTCTGCCGGGTAATCTTTCCCAGCGCTGTAAATTTCAGACGTCATTGAATATTGATAAGTCCTTTTAGCCACATATTTTAAAAAGTATTTTTAAATTATTTCAAAAGTGTTGGATTTAAATATAAAACAAGGAACAACGCTATAGTCGAGTACCTCGACTATCAGATACCCGTTACTCAGCTAATGGGACCAAAGAAAAATGGAGATATGCAAGCAGCAAAGCGAGATTGAAATGCGCCACCTACCCGTGATCTCAATATATGTTTATGTGGGTGGTAGACAGATTTAAGCGTTATGCGCGTTAGAGTGGTCTTGGCCAACTTTTTTTGGATCAACCGATAGGTATTGACGAGACCAATACATTTCAGTTAAAATTTTGTATCTAGCATGAAAATTGTGGGCGCCACAGGTTTGGGTGGTTTGTGGGCGTTGCTTGCTTGGCTTGCACTGCGTAGAAGGCTTAGGAATCTAAATCTGAGATCACATTTCTCTATCTTTGATAGTTTCCGATATATCCGCGTTCATATTTACGATTTTTTGAAGTTTGTGGGCGGTTTGTGGGCGTTCAAGTGGGCGTGGAAAACTTTTTTAGGTCAATCGATAGGTATTGCTGAGAACAATACATTTCAGTTAAAATTTTTATTCTAGCAACAAAACTGTAGGAGCCACAGTTTTGGGCGGTTGTTGGGCCTTAGAGTGGGCGTGGAGCACTGACGAAACAAACTTGCGCTGCGCAGGAATCTCTAGAATCTGCATGCCTAATCCCAGTATAGCAGCGCTCATACGGACAGAGGGACAGACTGACAGACGGACATGGCTAGATCAACTCGGCTAGTGTTCCTGATCAAGAATATATACACTTTATGGGGTCGGAAACGGTTTTACTCTACGAGTAACGGGTATAAATATATTGTTGTCTTATTACGTAGTCTTTGATTGTATTTTACAATGTATTAATAAATAAATTATTTCAGCACTCAACAACAGTTTGATCAAAAATCATGCTGGCCAAATCATGCTGCGGTTGGACAAAATATAAGACTTACGATCCATACCATCCATCCATATCAAGAGATAACACTTTAAATGAAAAAACTCAACAAAACCACTCCATCACAGCATTTCACATTAGAGTACACCCCAACGAAATCAGGTGTTCAGTTCCTTGCAGATTTTTCTGTGACTGCAAAAGAAAAAGAAACGAACGAATGATTATAATTGGAAGTTCGAAATGTAATTTACATGTAAACCGATGTCTTGCAATCGCCGTACTTGTAATCCTAGCGGCTGCACGCAGTGCCTTCGCTCAGACTGATATACAAAGCTTCAGTAATTCTTCCAACGGCAGCGTTAGTCCGGAAATCGTTTTGCTGTCTGAAAAAAACGCATCTTCTCCGGTATCTGCAGAGGATAAAATTAATGAAAATACGGAATTATTCCAAATGAAAGTACAAAGTAAGCTGGGCAAAAAAAGTTCCTCTTTGCCAAAGTTATCAGTTTCAGGAGATTTTACAAAAGTTCAAAGCGTGTCCATGTACCGCAATACCCTTCTCAATATAGAAAGTATACTACACCGACAATTACGTGAGAAAGCCAAGGTGGACAGTTTAGAGTCAATTAAAATGCATATCCTCATGCGCTTAAACTTAAAAAAACTTCCCAATATTACAAAACCAATATCAGTACCACAAAATATAATAGATAATTTTTATAAAGGTTATAATACTTCCTCAAAAAACACAGTTTGGAGTCGCATGGGAAGTACAGACGAATCTAATTTAATGCAAAAATCAACAGTCCCAGAAAACGTCAAATCAAATGGCACTTATGACAGTGACACCATGACTGATTCTTTAGATGAAAGTTCGTCTTCTCAAATGCAAGGCGATGATGCTAGCATTGTTAACGAATTTCAATTAATGCAAGAAATAGAGCTGAATAAATATCAAGATACAAAAACTGATATTCCCGTTAGTAACGGAGAGGAATACGAAAGTATTCTTTCACACATTAGTAGCATTTACATATTTCCAGAACGTAAGTACAAAACATTCATTTTAATGATCACTTACTGAATTTATTAGCATATCTAATGCCAGTTTAACAAAATCAAGAAAGAACGACTATAGTCGAGTTTTCCGATAAAAAAGTGTGTGTTTATTTACTTATACCCTATTCCTTATTTAGATACCTAGAAACACAAGTCTGAGTCTACGTTACACACTGTGTATGTATGTTTTCAGAAAAAAGTTCCACCAGGCCAAATTCCTTCAAAGCGACCAAATTCTTAACATTTACGAATTTTAGCGACCCTAAACCCTAAAGTTGTATGGTACCTATTTTTGATCAATTTTATAGTCGTTACTAGTGACTAAATGAGTATATTGTATTTGTTTGAAAGCATGCATTATGTAGACGTATAATACGCTATGAAGTATACGTACTTGATCATGATCACTAGCCGATCTAGCCATGTATGTATGTCCGTCCGTCTGCCCGTCTGGGCAGACTGCTTCCCCGCTTGAGAAGTTGTAATTATTTTATATGATGAAACACACAAACCGAAAAAATTTTAAATGTAAGATTTAAAAATTCTATGAATCAAATTTTCGAAATTTCAACAACTATTTCATTTTGTACTCCCTTAACGCTAATATCTGTATGTCGTTAGCATGTTCAAAGATTTTAAGTTGAAAGAGCATTTTAATTTGTCTACATGAGAAAAACATTTTAAGTACATTAAAAAGTAGTTATCATAAATTGGGTTCTACCTGTTCCATATATTTTACGACGAACACAATATACCCCTTTACTCTTCGAGTAACCGGTAAACAAGTTAAAGAAAGTTATCTTTGGGTACATTAAATGTTTTTTAAGGTTAGAAACGCTTCTTTCTGCCTGTTAAATTTTTTCCGACAAAAACAAGATATCCCTTAACTCTATGAGTAACAAGTATACTTAAAGAAAGTAATCTTTGGGTATGCCCTGAAATCATTAAAAAAATTAAGCAACATTTTTGACACAATAAATTTCAAAAAAAAAAATTCAGTTTCATCACAATATTATTTTTAAAACTAGATTTTTAGGTTTCTGCGTCTTAACAAAAAGTGTGCTTACCATAGAGTTATCATTTAAATATGTTTAATAGATGTCTAACTAAGAAAAACGGCGATTTAGTTTTGTGTTTAAAACTAATAAAATACCTTTATATGTTATAATTCATATTTTGAGTATTATAACTATTTCTTGTTGATTTCTCTCGTCACCTTTGAACCTATAATTATTTTTGTGGGTGGTGACACGATCGCAATAGTAATCGTATTTTTTAAAATTCAATAATTAGGATAGAACACAAATAAACATAGGTATATGCTACATATGTATTTTCAAGGCAATGTTGATTAGCGGAAATAACGCAGTCGGGAAACTCTCAACTATACCGTTCTTTTAATTTAAAAAATTAATTTAGAGTAGAAATAATATATATAACATTTTACATTTAAATCTTTTTTTTGTAAACCTAATTTGAATTCTTTTGTCCATTTAGAAATTCAACCTCATGTCCGACACAACCGTAATGCCGATGTGTTTCGATTTAAAATTGACGGTAGCTACTCGGATTTATCATACGCAACGCTTCATTTATATTTACGTGGTTGGGAGTGGATAAATACACATCAGCCAGAGCTCATTCGAGAAATTAATAATCAGCCAAGTAAAGATATTGTTGTGACTATTCACCGTGCTACGAAGCGTGGAAATACAACAAGCTTTACTCATAAAGGAAAAATATTTGAGTTTCGACGTAGTATTCCGTCAGGGCTTGGCCAATGGGTTAATGTTGATTTAAAAGCTCTATTTGGCGATTTTGAATTAAATACCACACAGGAAGTTCTTATAAAAGGAGCAGAGTCCTGGATGAAGCCATTAGTAGTGACCACTGACAATACATCAAAAAATCCATTGGTATGAATCCTTGAAATATAAAATAAAGTTTAAAAGTTAAATACCGTATCTTCTATATTTATACTGACTTTATTTCAGACTTTTCATATAGAAATTGGGTCACAAAAAAAGAATCGGAGAAAGCGCAACGTGTATATGGACTGCACAGAAAACGATCATGACATGCGATGTTGTCGATATCCACTTAAAGTTAACTTCACCAGCTTTGGATGGCATTTCGTTGTGGCACCAACGTCTTTCGACGCATATTTCTGTAGTGGCGATTGCAAAGTTGGTTACCTAGAGCAATATCCACATACACATTTGGCAGCCTTAACGACGTCGGCCACACCGTGTTGCTCGCCAACAAAAATGAGTTCCTTAAGTTTGTTATATTTCGACGATAACCATAACCTGGTGTTAAGTGTTATACCCAACATGTCTGTCGAGGGTTGCAGCTGTTCCTAGCAAATACAATTAAGGCAACCCAAAGGTTTTTTATAACATAGAACTAACAGATAATTGTATGTAAATAAATACACATTGGGGAAATTATTTACCTGTTTGAGAATGCTAGTATAATGCATATTCCCCAGATTTGACATAAAAAATATGTTTTCTTAAAGAAAAAATTAGTCGGATTGCATGCTATTACTAAATATTTATCTATTAAGGTTCGCTTCTAAAATTTGATTTTTAAGATAAAAAGTTGCAGTAAAGAGAGTAAGGCCTTGGCTTCTAGTTACGGTATTTCTAGCTTACACCCTACATAGAGAATTATGAAGCTAAACCTTTTTTAAATAATAAACTTAGTCGTGACCACAAGACAAATACTCCAGTGATTTAAGTAAAAAGCTACCAATAAAAAATGATATAAATAAATATCTTTTATGACGAATTAAAGAACAAAACTGGCTTCCTTAAAATGTCTTTAATAAAAAGAGATCACTTCTATAAAATTGATTTGTGGGTGGTAGCTATGGAACGAAATACAAAATAACGATAGTCCAAAAAGTACTGCACATTCGGTGAACTTTTATTAAATAAGTATAGTTCAGCGTCTGCTTGGGGTGCCCCCTTAAAGGCAACTCTCCGAAAATGTCAGCCAGGACAAAAAAAAACTTGAAAGTTGATTAAAACATCTTTCTCTACTGCTTAGATGCTCAACTAAACTACACCCTAACATTACAAAATCGTCCTAAATATAGGAAAAATCCCCATAGAAAATATGTTTTAGGGATTTTTTTCTCTAAAATGCCAATTATTTATATTAGTTAAGGCGATATTTCGCCATATTTCGTAGAACAAAAATCATCTAAAATCGTCCTTGAAATTTGAAAATCGGTGGCCTAGTGGTCTAACGCGTTGAACTTTCAAACTCATCTAAATGGCGTGAGTTCGAGCCCACGAAGATTCAACATTTATTTTTTTTTGTTCAAGTTTTTAGAATTGAATTGTTAAACAATTTTGTGTGCAAAGGCAAAAAAAATTTAGAACACGTAAAGTAATAAACAAAAATAATGTACAGTGACGAACTTTTGTGTTTCTTTTCTACCTTTATAAATGTGTTATTAAATTTAACAAAATCTTTTTTAGATAAGGGGAATATAATAATCAAATTATTCAATAAATTATCTCTTAAAAGCAAAAGTAAAATTAAAAACCAAAAATAAGCAGATTTAGGTGCACAAAAGTCTTGGCACACTTGTGTTTTTAATAACTATTTCGATACAACTTAAGTGATTTGGTTGCTTTTTTTTTGCCAAATCCGCTTTGTCTCTATAAGTGGTATAATGCTAAATTAGTAGCATAAAATCAATTAAGTACCTTAAATTACACCAAAAATGGTTTTATATAAAATAAAAAGAAATTCCTTTATCTCTGCGAAAAATAATATTTCACTTTCAGGATCAGGATCAGTTGTATACTTACATTACAACTCTAACCATGCAAAAAAGCATGGCTCATAGGACGATAAAAAAGCTTTGAATGGTCAGGGAGGCGAAAGGATCACATAATAGGATAATGACAACCTTCAGATCTACTCAGCACTGATCTAAGTTTAGGATAAGAAGGTCTTTGGCAAAGATATTTACCCAGTAGCGTGTTTAGCAGTCTCATGAGAAGATAAAAAGGACCCAGAAGCCATAGGGATAATTTGTTCTTAGAGCGCGCCTAGCGCGATACGTCTTTGGTGCAGCGGTAGTGCTCTCGACTGCGAAGCCAGCGGTCGTGAGTTCGATTCTCGTTGCGACCACGAAGATTTTTCTCAAGAAGTAAGTTGTTTTATACTTATGTTATTTCCCTAATTCTGTTTGATGACTACTTTTAGTTCATACGACTCTAATTAGCAGTTTACCAACACGCGGTGGAGCGGGCTTCTCACCCTCTCAAATTATAGTAAAAAAAAGGACATTAATTCAAATAATTCTAAAAAAAAATTCCTTGAAAAAGTACTGCAGATAATGCTTGCCCAGAACCAGCAATCATGTCCAAACACGATTTTTTATAAAAATTTGTTTTAATTATTAGGGCACTTTCTCTTGTTTTTAAAGAGCTTTACCTTAAAGCAAGAAAAACACCATACATTCAAGAAAATTTTTCTTCAATTTAAGGCAATTTACCATTAAAATATGAAAGTCACCATAGTTTCAAGAAAGATGCTTACAATTTTTTTCATGTTAGGGGAATTTACCTTTTAAAACAGAAAAATCGCCCTAGACTTAAGAAAATTCACCCTAGATCTAAGGAAAATCGCCATAAACGTAAGACTAATACATGCCTATTTTTAGAAAATGTTGCCCTTTTTTGTTACCCAGTCGCCATTTACCTCCGTTTAAGGCGATTTTCCTTGCTTTTAGGGCTATTTTACAGTAAAATTTCTATAAGTGTAAGCAGCTTGCATATCCTTGATAATTTTTCAAGACAATGTATTATACCCTGGCAGAGGGTAGACAGGGAAGGAGACATTTCCGGCCCCATTTAGTATATATATTCTTGATCAGCATCACTAGACGAGTCGATCTAGCCATGTCCGTCTGGCCGTCTGTCCGTCCGTTTCTACGCAAACTAGTCTCTCAGATTTAAAGCCATCTGGCTGAAACTTTCCCAAAAGTCTTCTTTCTTTTGCAGGTAGTATATAAGTCGGAACCAGCCGGATCGGACAACTATATTTTCGGAAAAAAAAAGTTTTAAAAAATTACATCTTTGGTGTTTTTGAACATATAACCTCCTAAGCCTGGAAATAGCATACTTTAATTAGTTTTAAATACCGAAATTTTTTTTTTAAATCCGACGACTATATCGAAAAATTGAAAAATAATATGAAACAAATTATAGCTTCGGTGTTTTTTGACATATTGGGAATATCATTTTTTGTATTTTTTGTAATAATTATAACTGCAAGGGTAAACAACTTCCTTTCTTGTTTTTCTACTATATTTTAAAGTTAATTTAGAACCATCCACCCAAAAAAAACCACAAAAACCAACCGACTTAAAACCAATTATAGTGCTAATCAAGACCGTTAACTTAAACACTGTAGAAAAAAGTCTGGGTACCCGTCGTGTGCCAATACGATCATCTAGTCACTAGATTCCAGTGTCTTCGTTGTCAGTTAATTAACCCTTCTGGGGGCTGGTACCCCCTCTAATATGTTTCTACCAAGCAGAATTCGGTTCCCGTTATAAATTTATGGAAACGGTTTGTGGTAAAGTGCGACGCGTTGAAAAAAGGGAATTGAATACCTATGTATTGGGGTATCTTAGTTAAGGCACTCGACAATAGAGTTATCTTTTGTTTATTAAATTTATGTTTAAGTCTATATCCTTAAAAAATGAAGACGCGTAAGTAGACCTGAACGTCACACTTTAATCGACTTTCCCACAAATGCTATTTCTGAAGTCGGTGAACACCCTGCCCTCTAAACAAGTAAACCGTTCTGAAAATGTTTTAACATTCTTTTCGATTCTGCGAGGGGTCAAGGACTGCTACGACCCTGTTGGTTAAGATCCTTGAAATGGCTATGTATACAAATATATATGTATATACTTAGATTATCAAAAACCAATCTAAGCACTTTTTACCCAAACAAATTTATTGCAAATTATCTGCCCCTACCAATCCTCTCCTCTACTTATAAGAAAAAATATTTGTTTATCTCCGAAAAATTTATTATATAACCATTTAGTGATACATTACTATATATATATACTTATATTTGCATAAATATTTCTCATAAATTTAGGGGCCTCGGCTTTCAAGTCGGCTTTTAAATGTGAATACTAATCAGTAAAAAGAGTATGCCGATATATGAAATGTAATTTTAAGATATTATATTTTCTTTCGAACACAATATGGATATTTTTATATTGTTTATTTGGTTTTATGGTATTGAGGAGCTTACTTTAAATATATATTTTTGTATTACATTAGATAAATAAATATATATTTTATAGACATACATTTATTTATTTATCCACCAAATTTGTTTAATTCGGTGATATTTATTTGTTTTTATTTTTTTCTAAAATTACTCTTTCGTTCGCATTGTAAAATATTCGTTGTAAATACATTAGCTGCCAATTATAATAAGTTAAATGTAAAACCTTACAAACTGTGTAAAAAAATATTTGCCTCCCTTTTGTATGTACGTATGTACACATTTCTTAAAAAATAGTTTTAAAGGAGTCAAAATATTGTTGGAGCCTTCATCAATTTTGTTTATTTCATATACAAATTTAAAGAAATAACATTTACGGCTGAATTACGTATCCTAATGCATTGATTATACTTCTTTATATATGCATTTATTAAAAGGGTTCTTTAAATGCCTCTGAAAATTTATAATCAGTAAACATTAACACAGATCGACAAAGCTTAAACTTTTTTTAAGCCGAGACTAAACGCTACAAAATCTACAGATTCAGCTATATTCTGGTTCTGCGCTACGAATGGTTTAGCAGTTACTAAGCCGTAAAAGAGGCTACAAATCGAAAATTTAGTACTTCTAAAAGTTTCTAAGTTTGGAGTCGTAATCTACAGGTAAAGTCCTTTCAGATTTTGTAGCCTTTAATTTTGGACTTTTTTGTCGACCTGAGTTATAGAACTTCTTTCTGAAAAATAATTTTTGTGAAAATAACATACATTTAAGGAAACATTTTGATAAAGTGGCTTATACTCTATAACTTCTCTGGAATCGAAAATAGCATTTGAAGGCTAATAAATCTCTTTAATTGCAGCTTTACCCATAACATTACAAATGTAAATGTTTTAATAGTGTTTCGTCCGTTCATTATTCTCAGGTCCTTAAGCTGTGTAAAATATATTTTTTTGAATTGTTGTTGCGCTGATTAACACATTTAAATTCAGCAATTACAACCAGGGACCGTAATTATTCTAAAATATAAATTTTAAAACTCGAATGTTAGGGTAATATTAATTTCTCATTTGAATTTTGGTATAATGTATTCATTACTCTGTTTATTTTTTATCAACGGTAAAGATTATCTATTGAAAAAAGTATATATGTATACTCTTTCATCAAACATTTTTGCGGTTCATGTTTATTATAAGTTTAAACAAGCACCCTAGATCTTTTTTAAACAAAAACTGTGTTAATAAATATTACGCACTAATATATCTAGATATTTTGTTGTGAAATACTGATTCTTCGTATATATGAGAACGCGTTGAATTTCTTACAGTAGTATGCTACCTTACGAACAATATTTGTTAGAGCTAAATAATATATATATGTGTATTTATATATAGTATATATAAACCTATTTACTATATATATATATACATATATATATTATATTTCTATTTGGTATATAATATATATATAAATGCTCATTTTTTAATAATTTATTGTATGAAATAATTTTTTCTAGTTCTAGTTTATAAAATAATGTAAAATGTTCATTTTGCGCGCTCAATATACTTTATTAGTCTCACTCGTTTGAATTTTTGACCTTACAGATTAAATATAAAAATTATATACATTTAAAAATATATAAGCCAGCCTCTATTACAAATATTTGGACTAGATTGATTAATATAATTTTGGGCACAGTACAAAATGTTAGTAACACAGGTATAACATAATTTTTGATATAAAACATCCAATTCCAAACAGAACTATTGGCTTTTCTAACATTACGCGCAATTTACATTGTATTATAAATATTAAATATGATTGACTATAAATGTATAAGTCTTTTTATTCACATTAATCGTAAGCTTTATTAAGGTAGTTGTCACATGTGGGTCATACATCGTAATTTTAAGTATATATAACTATTTGTATCTGACTTTATCTATGGATATAATATATGTTACGTGCTGATCTTAATATTTATGCTTATTTATCAGTCAATTTTTATTTTTGAGAGAATTAGTGTTATAACGTGTACTTTTTAGATCCAATATATTTTCAATTACCTTTTTTCGTGAATGTCTTTTATTATGCGAAAAATTATTTGGCTAGTTTTCATTTGGGACTTACGCACGTAATATGCCGTTTGAAATTTCACTAGAATATGAAGAACAATCAAAATATTACTTTACTATTTAAATTTGGGTTAGGTCTGAAAAATTATAACAATTTAATTTAAAAATATTGTCAAAAAAATCCAACGAAAATTAAACACAACATTATAAAAAAACCGCCATGAATTGCAACCATAATAAAATGTATCTGCTCACAATAGGACAATATCGTTGGTGGCTACAATTAAAATAGAAATATTTATGAATATTAATATTAAATGTATGTTTATGCCAACTGTATCATACTGATATCCGATTTTGGTAAAAAACAAGGGTCGTGTTTAAAACCAAAGAATTTACCAACAAATTTGATTTTTTATGTGGTTATATTTTTTTAAGCCTAACCTTTACTCGTAAAGATTTGACTATGAGGTACCCTCAAGTCACTTCATTTTCATAAATTATGTGACGGCTAACCATTCTCGTACAAATAAAGCTCCTGTTAAAGGGAATTTTGTTTTCTCGAGCGTCGATGAGAGCGCTAGCTCCAACGCCTTACAGTATTTTACTTTGATAAATTAATCTATTTCAAGCATCTCTTGTTACTACTCATATGACCGCTAGCTCTGGTAGTTGCGATATTTTTGTTTTATGAACATGACAAATGTTTTTTGGTTATATTTTAAGGCGGTTATGTAGGGTGTTTGTGCCGAAATTTTTAACTTGTTTTGTATGTTATTATTTTAAAAGATATGTGTAACGTATTTGTTTCCGTCCATTTTGGATACATATTTATAAATATTACAAAATATATGTAAATTTTCCAAATTTTTCTCGTTTTTCATTTTTAAAACAATTAAAAATTAAAATATTTATCTTATACCTTTAGATATGAGAACAAAAAGGTTTTGGGGTTTTCATAGCCGTTACTCGTAGAGTAAAAGGGTATACTAGATTTGTCGGAAAGTATGTAACAGGTAGAAATAACCGTTTCCGACCCCATAAAGTGTATATATTCTTGATCAGGAACACTAGCCGAGTTGATCTAGCCATGTCCGTCTGTCAGTCTGTCCCTCTGTCCGTATGAGCGCTGCTATACTGGGATTAGGCATGCAGATTCTAGAGATTCCTGCGCAGCGCAAGTTTGTTTCGTCAGTGCTCCACGCCCACTCTAAGGCCCAACAACCGCCCAAAACTGTGGCTCCTACAGTTTTGTTGCTAGAATAAAAATTTAACTGAAATGTATTGTTCTCATCAATACCTATCGATTGACCCGAAAATAAGTTTACCAATCCCACTTTAACGCCCACAACGCTTAAATCTGTCTGCCGCCCACATAGCCATATATTTAGATTGCGGGTAGGTGGCGCATTACAATCTCGCTCCATCTCCCTTTGCTCCCTAGCAGAGTAACGGGTATCTGATGGTCGAGGATAGCGTTCCTTGTTTATATTGTCATTATCTCTATAATCCAATTACAATTAACATTTACAGAATTTATTTTCCATACGAAATCAAGTAGAAACGAATTTGCTTTGAATAGCTACGTTATTAATAGTTAGTTAAGCTTATTCTTTTTAACTACTCCCAAGGTCAGCATACAGAGCAAATATAGTAGTTATTTCTTCCAAATTATTGAGCTTCAAACAGTGACAGGTCTGCACACTGTTTGTAAAACATAACAAGGCATTTTTTATTCGAGTCTATAACATTTCACCAAAAACTTATCAATGGCATACAAAAAAGCGTTTATTTAATCTCCTTGCTTTAAATAAAAATAGTACAAAAACACAGTAAAAAAACAGTACAAACAACGAAGAATACAATAGTCGAGTACCTCGCGTGACAAACTTTTTTTTAGGTGAATCAATAGGTATTGACAAGACTAATACAGTGCAGATAAAATTTATTTTCTAGCATGAAAATTGTGAGCGCCACAGGCTTGGGCAGTTTGTGGCGTTAAAGTGGACGTGGCAACCTGCTGAAACAAACTAACGCTGCGCAAGAAGCTCCAAACGAAATCCCAACTTTCTAGCTTTTGTAGTTAAACAGATCTCAGCGTTCATCCGGACGGACAGACAGACATGGCTAGATCGACTCGGCTAGTGATCCTGGTCAAGAATATATATGTATACCCTGTATACCCTTTTACTATACGAGTAAGGCGTATAAAAATAGTTTTATTTGATTTCTAAACGCTGTCTATAAATTACGATTTTGTCTCTTTGCTGCGACCTAATATTTAAAACGTGCATATCTTCCTTTCTTTATAAGTTAAGATGGCAATCCAAGGACGAGAATTTGAAATACTATACTATACTATTAGTTGCGAAAAACGTATTAGGTTGATTGGTCATTATTTTAGACATAACCAAAAAGGTGAACATTTTGTGATTTTCTTAAATTACAAGTACCGCAACTACCAGGAATAAAAAAAATGTTCTGTTAGTCTGTGTACTCAAAGCCATTTATTGTTGGCGTTTGAAATCTTAATTCTTTGATAAACAGCACGCCGTCATTTTTTCTCGTATAAAAAAATTAAAGAAGTCAAGAAAACCGATTAGCTTTAAAGGTATGTTTATTTAGTCTTAAAGTTGGCAATAAGCTATCAGCGACTTTCACAGGGCCTAGATAATTTTAAAAACTATCCTACACACAATAATGAAATAAAGGAAATTATTGATTTGCAAGACAACGAATAAGGCATAACTTTCTTGATCCAAATTTAGATCGAACTTTAAAATGTAAGTCAGATAATCGACAAAATTAAATTTTATATATTATCGATCCGCATCGGCTTTGGGAAATCAGTTGTCATTTTATCAAGCCGAAAAAAAAATGACAGGCTGTCTGAGTTAGCTCTCACATTGACGCTCAAGAAAAGCAAAATTCCTTAGCAGGGACGTTATCCGTCCGAACACTTAATAAACCAGCCATAAGAAATGTTGTAAAAAAAACTTTCTGCGGGACTGAATCTATATTTAAATTCATAATAATGTAAAAATTATTTTGAAGATGTCAACACAGATTGGTAATATGAACAGGTTCTAAATAATCTGGGTTGAGCAATCCTTAGATTAGTATCCTGTTTATACGTATGGGTGTAAGTCTTGAATGTATTATATAATATGTATTGTGTGTGTCTTTATTCTTCAAAAGTAAATAGTGGTAGTCATCCCATAACAGGGATATTGACATTATTTGACTAAAATGATACTAAAAGTATTTTATGTAGAAGATAGCTTCGTTAATATTTTGGGAAGATGGAAGCAGTTGGCTAAAATTTGACCTCTAACCATATTTGAAATAAATATGTTGGGACCTAATTAAGAATGTGATATATTTTAACTTTTACAATTCCAAACTTTATTTTTAATTCGAACGGCAAGATTTTAGGGCGTGATTTATTACAAGTGTGAACTTAAAAAAAAAATTTTGACAAAAAAATACAGTATAAAAAAAATGTATTAGAAATCCAAATTTAATAATTTTGTTTTTGAGTGTTTTCGTTTATAATAATGCTTAAAGTCGGATTACCTGTTTTGTGATGCTTTCTTGGAAAATGGTAGCTTCATAAGTAAATCAGGGAACCCCCAACTTTTTAAATATTTATATATTACCGTCATCTCAGTGAGGAATTGGCACAGCTTATCAAAGTTTGTGCGACGGTAAAAAAGCGCTATGCCCGCTTAAGAAAGAATTGGAACATTTTAAATAAATACCTACAGTGGAGAGCAAAAGTGAGAACATGTTTTTTTTTCATTCTTTGAATATTTATTAACAAATTCTGATACAAAATAATTCAGTTGTTTTCCTAAAGAAATAAAAAAAAACAAAAACAAATGGCAAGCAAAAAATTAAAAAAATATATGTACAGCTGCGACCAAAAATAGCACTGTGTGCTACAGAATGGAAATTTTTTGCATTTTTTTATTCTGTTTGTATGAGTAAGTAGGGTTACATATCTAGTGTACGGGACCTATTTGCGTTTATGCACTTGGCTTTTTAGCAGTTATGGGGCCATTGCGGCCTTTCTATTGCGTGCTGTCCTTTTGGGATCTTGTTTTAGGTCACTCCCAAGCATTATATGAAAGAATTCGACGATTCAATCTAACTTATCTTTTGCACTTCCCTTATAAAATACCTTTTTTAATGTCCCTCTATTTTCTCATTACAACCCATCAACCCCATCATAACCCATTTTTGTTTTACCAAATCGCTTAGTAGTACTTATTCTGTTCGAAAGAACAACAAAAAGTTTCAAACAAATAAAGTTTTAGCCTTTGATGGAGATATTTGTGTTGGCGCATAATTTTGATACTTTTTTTTATAAATATTTCTTAAATTTAAAAAAACTTTTCGCATTGTGGGCACAACCACACTAGGTATGTAACCCTACTACTGGAAATATTGCAAAAAATGTCCATTGTAGCAAGAAGAACAATGGTGCTATTTTTTTTGGCCGCAACTGTATGTATAAAAAATCATTAAGACACGAAATATAATAATCTTTTTAAAAAGTTTAAGATTATTTTATGTTATGTAAAAGAATTTGTTAATAAATATTCAAGGAACAAACAAAAAACATGTGGGTTCCATTTCATTGATAATTAATTTTAAAGCGACAAACAGTCAATATTTTTATACCCTTGCATAGGATATATTGATTCAGTCAGTAGTTTGCAACGCAGTGAAGGAGACGTTTCCGACCCCATAAAATGTATATATTCTTGATCAGCATGACTAGACGAGTCGATCTAGCCATGTCCGTCTGTCCGTCCGTTTCTACGCAAACTAGTCTCTCAGTTTTAAAGCAATCGGGCTGAAACTTTCCCAAAGGTCGTATATCTTTTGCAGGTAGTATATAAGTCGGAACCAGCCGGATCAAACAACTATATCTTATAGCTCCCATAGGAATAATCGGAAAAAATAAAAAAAAAATTATATCTTTGGTGTTTTTTAACATATAACCTCCTAAGCTTGGAAATAACTTTTTTTAATTAGTTTTGAATTTCGAATTTAATTTTATCATAATCGGAAGACTATATCTTATAGCTGCCATAGGAACGATCGGAAAATTGGTGGGAAAATAATATGAAACAAATTATAGCTTCGGTGTTTTCTAACATATATACTATTGGGAATACTATTTTTTGTATTTTTTAATTTAATAAATATAACTGCAAGGGTATACAAGCTTCGGCCGAAGTTAACTTCCTTTCTTGTTAAACATGTACTCACTTTTGCTACCCACTGTATATTTTGTTTTAAAAGGAGTTGCCTAATCTTATTTAAAAATGTTTTGGAGTGCTATACAAAACTTTTAATTAACAACTTTAACAATTTTTCTTAGTGAAACCGATTTGTTTTCACGTTTTAGATGTACTTTGGGAAAAGCCTATAACGGCAAGAAAATTAACTTCTTTTGCTCCGTGCATCTTTAAAAAATTAATTTATACTTGTACATTTCGAATTATACCACCTTTTTTTAAAAAAGTTCTCGGGCTCTAGCTTCTATATAACTACTAGTAAAATGGTCACCAGCAACTCATTTAAAACTCAAAACCTTATTAACAGAACTCAAGATAAAAAATAAAAACAAGGAAGCTAACTTCGGCAAGGTGGTCATCATGCAGTTAAAGTCAAACGTTAGTTAATATGGCAGCTGTATAATATAATCATCTTATTTTGTATAAATACAAATTCTAAAATCTTGAAAAAATTGGATATACTACAATCTTTCTTACGGGAGATATAGAATGAAGTTGTCCAATCCGGGCGGTTCTTTTATATACTACCTTATGATATTTAGAAGACTTTTGGGGAAGTTTCATCCCCTAAGCTTTAAAACCATGAAATTAGTTTTCGTAGAAATGGGCGGACGGACAGACAGACATGGCTATATTGACTCCTTTAGTGAAGAATATATATACTATATAGGGTCTGAAATATCTGCTTTACTGAGTTGCAAACTTCTGACTGAAACAAACACTCTTTGTAAGAGGCAAATCAATTTTGAAAACTTACTAGGTTAAAAAAAATATATATTTAATATTTACAAAATTTTATAAATTAGGTTTGACTTAAACAAGTACAATTTCATTACTAATACAACTTTAGGAAAAATTTTAAGAAAAGATATATCGCTTAAAAAAAGTTTAATTTTTTTTTTATTTCGATTAAAAGTTAAATTTTATATATCAAAATAAATCAAATCAATTACATATGTTTCAAGTCAAACCATTTTTAAAAAATGTAGGGGACATTGACTTTAGGGCGACATAGAATAAAAAACAAGAGAAATCGCTATAGTCGTGTGCCTCGACTATCAGATACCCGTTACTCAGCTAAAGCGACCAAGTGGAGATGGAGATATGAAAGCAGCAAGGCGAGATTGTATGCGCCAGCTACCTGAAAACTATGGGCGCCACAGTTTCGGGAGGTTTGTAAGTGGGCGTGGCATATTCGCCTAACAAACTTGCGCTGCTTACAAGGCTACGCTGTTCGTGGGCGTTAAAGTGGAAGTGGTTAACTAATATTTAAGTCAATCGATAGGTGTTGATGAGAACAATACATTTCAGTTAATTCAGTTCTACCATTAAAATGTAGGAGCCAGTTTTGGGCGGTTTGTGGGCGTTAGAGTGGGCGTGGCACACTGACGAAACAAACTTGCGCTGTGCAGGAATCTCTAGACAGACGGACAGACGAACATGACTAGATTGACTCGGCTAGTGATCCTGATCAAGAATAATTATACTTTATGGGGTCGGAAACGCTTCCTTCTACCTGGTACATACTTTTCGACGAATCTAGTACACCCTTATACTCTACGAGTAACGGGTATAAAAAACCGATGAAAATATTTAAAGAAAGTACAGATTAGAAACCTTTTTTAAGGAACCTATAGTAAATGGTCCAACCAAACCAAAAATATCACTAACATTTTTGACAAAAATTAAAAAAAAGCTATATTATTTTTGAATGCATGTTTTGAAAATTTTACGAAAATCTACAAACACAACAGTTTAAATTAACTTATATGCAAAATGTTTAACCTATGTTTCTGAAATCTAGGTTTCACATTTAATAAAAACAAACACAACAGTTGAAATTAACTTATAAGCAAAATGTTTATATAAATATATAAATCTGAAATCTAGGTTTCACATTTAATAAAAAAATTTAAAAATTCCATTTTTAAATTGTGAAACGTGTTTTTTTAAGAAAAGTTAATTTCAACTGAAGCCACGACCACTGACCAACAAATTATAAGACTAAAAAAAATTGTAGATAAAGTAATGGCATACAAAACTGAGAAAATCGAAATTATCCCAAAATGCGCATTGCATGGTAAACAATAGAATTACAAACCGGACAAACTGCTTCCATAGAAATACATATTTGATTTGCGCATTCCATGCAAAACATATTGTGGCCACAAGGAACCAAAGCAGTGGTAACATCATTTTCATTACAAACAAAACATTCGCGGTGAATCATAAATTTATCCGGGTTCGGTTGCAATTGAATGGCTTGGGTCTTTTGCTTGTTGTTACATATAGTCGGCTCTTTAGTCTGATGCAGATTTTTTTGATTTACAGAATGCTCACCCAGTCCTAACAGCGAGTCCGTAGGACTTATTGAGATTGTGGGTGAGCAGTGTGCTGTGGGTATAATATTCCCCTGTTGGTTCCAAATACTAGGCGAATCCCCTATCCCCTCGTCGACGTCAATTGAATCACTTATATTTTTCCATATATTTAATATTTCTGGAGGTGTGTTGGCGCTATTGTTGGTACTCTTTGTTGAAGTTGTTGAAGAAGCAGATGAACAAGATCTTGTTAAAATATTCGCATTAGAGTTCGAATGAATCGATGCTGATGTAGGTGTGGGAGGACAGAAGGATAATGTTTTACTAGGCGTATTACGGAATACAACATTAGCCTTAGCTAATGGCATGGAAACTTCATTTCCCGAAAGATGTTTATCTGATAATTCTGTTGCCTTTATAGTTTGTGCTATTTCCATATCAGAAAACTCAGTTTTTTGAAAGCAATTGCCAGTGTGATGGGCTTGCATGGGCTTCACGGAAAGGCTACCGTTCCCAGCAATTTTTATTGTAGTATTTGCATAATCCTGTGCAGATGGAATTGCATTTTTGTATATAGACGACAAAATTTCGGAATTCAAATCATCATTTAGTATTTGGGTTAATGAATTTATTGTCGGCAGGGTCGCAAACTCGTTCGCCTCAACCGGTTCACCACCTTGCATAGTATTACCATCAACACTTCCAGATCCTGTCCCAGTTCGAAGGGCGATATGAGCTTCTATCTGCTTTCGCGCAGTATCTACGTTGTCTGGCAAGCCAGTCACTTCAAATATTGGTTCCTTTTCGCGCGATGGTGTTACAATGTAAGTTTGAGTCTCTTGTTGAATGTGTTTGATTGTAGCACCTTTAGGCCCAACAACAAGTCCAACCACCCGGTAAGGTACACGTACCTGAATGGTGATCTGTCCAGGCATACATGGGGGACCTGACTGCATGCGCGGCACTGCACCACCTCCAGATCCACTCGCACTTCCAACGATTCCGCCACTGTGCCCGTCACTTATAGGCTTACGTGATGCCCGTATTAAGCTGAAGTGGTCAGCAGCGGAAAGTATTTCTCGTTTAGCCTTGTTCACATCTTCCTTTCGACCAGTTACTACGAACACCGGTTCCTCTCCTCGAACTGGCGTTTTAATGTAAGTGTTGGTTTTGGCTCTCAAAGCCTTTATTTTGCAACCTAAAAGAAAAAATAGTTAAGACGGTTAAAATTTGTACTGATATACGGTTCAATTGCAACCAAAATCGGTTAGCCGAAATTTTAGCAGCAAGTCTGAGCGGTTGCGCTCCCATCATGGCGAAATGTAAGAATTTTTAAAAACAAATAAAGTTTAGGTGGTATAGATATTGATAGATATTGACAAATAAAAAAAACTTTAAAAGTGGGCTTCATTGACACTCCTAGAACATTTGAACTCTTTAGCTTCAACAAGATAAAGTCGATGTTGTCGACTATCAAATACCCGTTACACAGTTAAGAAGAGTCCGAGTTAGATGAAGGTATGCAAGCAGCAAAGCGACAGTTCCCAAGATTGCACATTTTATTTCTTTATAACTTTTTAACAAATGGTCCGATCTGCACAATTTTTGGTATGGCCCATTTACTTGTTTCAAAATCTTTAAAAAATTCAGGCGATGGACAGGATTTAGCGTTATGGACGTTTGTGGGCCCTGATGAAATAAACTTGCGCAGCGCAAGAATCTCTGGTTTATTCCGAGATCTCAGCGTTCATATGGACAGAAGGACAGACGAGCAGATGGACCCGACTAGATCGAATCGGCCTATGATCCTGAGCAAGTGTGTATATACATACTTTAAGGGGTCGGAAACGCTTCCTCCAACCTGTTACATACTTTCCGACGAATACAGTATACCCGCCAATTATCGATAATACTCACCTTGTCTGCCCACTATTTCGGCAACATGTTCGGAACTGGGGACTGGAACACACTCCGTCATGTTCTGCGACTTCTTTGATCGATCTTCTAAGCTGACGGCGCCGGCACAGGGTAATAGGAGGGAACTCGGTGCCGGTGGAAGTGGCAGGGTGCTGTCAGATTTGGAAAACGCGGGCATGCCATTGATGGTACCTATTTCGAAGTCACTTTGTGCACTTAGGGGCATTGGTAGGGGTTGAGCAGGTTGCGCATAACAAGTTGGATTGTCGTTAAATCCGACTAGTGATAGTTCCAACGCCAATTGCAGTGTCCGCGGATCGTCTGACAGTGGTAGAGATGACGCATTGACTTTGGCTTGATCGGCCATTTCGTGATGGTGTACGGTGTTTGCTTTGAGACTCGACTCCTTTGAATTAATGCTGGCCAAGATCTTCGGTGTGACCTGGGCTGACATCACAATGGCACCCTTATCCTTTTTTTGGAGCGAAATGAATACCGGTGCAATACCACTTTCACGCAATGAGGAGCTCGATGACACGGAAACCGATGAAAAGTTGAAGGATGATATGGAACTCGATGCAGAACTTGAACTCACTCTTTTAAGCCCACTGAATTCCGTGCTTATGTGTGCTGTAGACATGTCAATGCATTATTCAACTTTTGATTGCAAGACTTCCCCGTTAGGCCTCGTTTTTCGAGTCAAAGTCAATTTATATATGTTACTACCAATACTCGTCGCTTTTCCGCTTGTGAATTGTCTGTAAATATAGAAGAGGCCGAAAGTGCATTTGGTATACATACGCATGTTTATGGGAGTGATAGCTATGCATGTGTGTAATGGTATATGACGGTTAAAAGAACATAAGAATATACACCTGGTACTAAGTCGCGACTTTAGGACAATTAGTTACATTTCAGACAACATTCCTAACGCAATGGATTCTGATAAGCAAACTAATGTATTTCCTCTCTCCTCGAATCCTGTTAGCCGCGATGTCAAAGCTCAGGACATACCGAATACCGCGCTCATAACCAACCCCTAACTTACAACTTTTGTGTCACTCACCCCTTGTAACTTCTTTTCTGCTTTTACCCTCTCTGAGACCCACAACCACAACACTGAACATAAATTTTAAGACACATGCATTTAGTTAATTATGCACCGATCTTATTTTTGGTCATCTTTTTCCGTTTCAGTGTTAAGCCAGAATAACCATCCCGAATTTTGTTGCCAAAGCACGCAGTATCTTAGGACTAATGCTGTCAATAACACCGAAGTGAAATGGCTTAAAATTTACGTGTGTACACTAGAAAACTCGGATTGCCAGGTACACATTCCGGCGGTGTGTCGACACGCCTTTTGCATACATGTGCGAAAACTGAGAAACACAAACTAGTGGACAGCACGGAAAATCGTCCCCAGATGGATTTATATACCGCAAACTAATTTTACAATTGCAGATTGTTATTGTTGATTTAGCGCACCAGAATTCAATCAAATTACATAGCCGGCTATCTGCACTAGATAGGGAACACAATAAGAAACGATAACTATCGATATCTAGAGATGGGAACCGTTGTTTTTAAATCATTACAGTCAGTTCACACTAAGCCAAATTAAGAGGTTGGTGACGTATTAAATATTTTTCCGTTAAGTTCCGTTTGTTTCTTCCTACAATTTAAAAATACCAATTTAAATCTGATCCTAGCAAAATGAAGAAATTTGTAATGCTCAGTTCAGAGTAAGCGGAAGCGAAAACTTACAAGTCTAATTTTAAAAAACGTTGTAGACGAAACGGGAAATTTACTAAACCAATCGCTTTTTACATAAATTAAGTAACTTTTCACAAAACTGGGAGGAGTGACAAAATATAAACATCGAGAGCATTACCAGCAAAAACTTTTCATTAACAAAATTATTACGATTTTTTTGATTGATTTTTAAATTTAGATGGTACTGCAGGCAGTACTGATATAAGCCGCAAATCAACACTCTAGTTGTGTTCTTTTATCTAATTTATTTTCTTTAAATAGTTTTTTAATATATGAAAATAAAACCAACTAACATTCTGGGTATACCCAAATCTGTTTAAATGCTGAAAATAGAACATTTCAGCAATTAGGGGATCGACCCTAAATGGTTGCTGTTAAAATTTCAAACAGCAACTTTACAAAATTTACCGCAGTAAAACCTGTAATATTTTATTTTCAAGCATAAGTTAACGCCTAAAATATATAAAAGGGTAAGAAGAACTAAGAATATATTTTCTAAATTGATGTTAAGGTAAAAAGTGATTACTAGTGATACTAAAATGTTGCAGGGTTGCTTCTTTGTAAAAAAGGCGACAACTCTGGTTTTCACTAATTCAAACTCGAGGTTGTTGAATTGCTGATATTTCGGAAAATAAATTTTGCATGGAACAGCTGATGAACAGCTGACCAGAACTTAACAAATGCCTATTACCTTGGCGCCGTTTCGTCTCTGCCTTAACGATAACGGAGAAGACTTTATAAATAATCTTAATTCTTCTGTTCTGTGTTGTTGCCTAGCAGTGACACTGACTAAAACAATAGACGTATTAACAATAATTGAATCGAAAATCGGAAAGCAGTAAAATCGCTAGGAATACAAAACTTAATTTTTATGAGTGTGCACAAAGATGGTTAAAATAATATAAAACAAAGCAATGTAATTAATAAAGTTATAAGTAATGGTATAATATTATATTTATTAAAAATATTATTAAAATATATTATATATTATTAAAACATATTATAATTATTAAAATATATTTTTAAAATATATTAAAAATATTCTATTACGAAGATCTGCTAATCCAATGGTCCTCTTTGGGTTTTATTTGCTGTACCGTTGTACATACATATGGGAATGTTAAGATTATTGTGTTATCGATAACAAGTAAGCTAAATAGTGTGTTTTAAAAATATTCTTTGTTTTCTTTTGTATTCTTGTAGAATTAAATAATTTATAATAATTTTGACTTTACGGTAGAATGCCTCGTGGGACACATTTGTCGAAGGAAGATCGCGCAGTCAAAGGACTGGCCGAATTCTTATAATGCTGGCAGATAAAATGTGCATAGAAACTATCTTAAAAATCCGGAAATTTATGGAAAAACGCAAAACAACAAGTCTTTCATGGAGACCAAAGAAGTATAAAACAAATTTTGAAAGAAAACGAAATGGTTACATCTGCTTCCCTCGACGCAGTACCAAAGCTACTAAAGCGCCACATACCGCTAGCCTACAACTGATCAGAACTACAAAATTTGGACCGAGGAGACTATAAAGTTATTGGGGCTAAAATAGTTACACATTTATTTCCGCTGTAAATGGTATATGGTATATGGTATATACATATATACAAAAAATATAATTGTTTAATTAAACTTTTTTTCACGTTTCTGACCACGTTTTGGACCGCTTTATTAAGTGTTAATATAGTGTATTACACCCAGAAAAATGATGAATCAAATTTTAAGACCTTCATGACCTTAACGTTTTAAAATGGACTTAAAGTCTTTTTAAATTTTTGGTTTTTTTAGGTCATTGTGGGCTTTAAAATTATAGCATTTGACCTAAAAATATTTGACAGTTAAAAATCTTTTAAGGTTAATATGTCTGATATATGTATATTGGTGTTGGACCTAACCAAATTGACTTAATAAGTTCCTGTTAAAACAGCTCACCCCAAAAACTTTTATCTATGGTCCCGTTAGGTCTTACACGCAGGCACAATTCACGAGAAAAAAAGCTTGTTCACTGGCCTACATAATAAATGTACAGCGTTCTGAAGAGGCATGTACACTGGCCAAAAAAATAATTATACTTGCTCTTCGACACGGCCTTCCTGACAAATCACACGTGCGTTGTCCCATAACCACCATATCCTTATACATACATATATTATATGTTAGTTTGTTTTTCATTTCATTTCATTTTTTTCATTTGCATCGACATTTTTATCAAACAAAAACACCTCTTAACGAGGTAAAAAACTATTGACGATCGCAAATTCATTACTTAATAAATACATTTTCTTAATTTTTTTACATTCGGCACGCTTCTATGTATGTATATATGTATATGCTTGGATTTAGCTGTACGGTTTTAATAAAGCGTTCGTCACAAAAGTCATTTCCAGTCGGCACCCTCGAGGAGGCTTCAGTATGAGGATTTTTGTCAACCAAAAAATACATTTTTTACAGCTCAATACAAACATTAAATTTTATAAATTTCAGTCGGCACCCTTGATAAGAGTTTAGTATGAGAAACAACAATTTTTTTAATATTAATATTCAAACTACTTTTTAACATGAAACAGAATATATATATCTTTGCTGTTACATGGCCAGGAACATTTAGAGATTATTGTGTCAATGGCTTTAAAAGTTCTCTATTTTTTTTTAAAACTGATGTATAGTGTCCTTCATTAAATACATTCCCATGGTGGAATATTGCACTTGATAAACTGTATCTTTTATTTTCAAATCTAAGCTCAGTTTGTGAAGCGGTTATTAAATTAAAATTGTTTATTTTTCTATTGGCCGAATCGAGTAAACTAAGTGAGAACACAAATTCGCGTCCTGTATCCTGTATTAAAGACTGATGTTTTAAATAGTTCCCGCAATGTGCACATTTGTTATCTTCAACATTTTTCCAATTTCCTGCTAGGGAACGACACTCTAATAGATGTCGCAAAAAATCCCCGCTGTCCTGCTGTTCTATGTTATCAAAAATACTTGATCCTAAATCTGTAATATTCATTTTTGTCCCCATCTGTAAAGGGTTTGTATAAATCAAAAATGATGCCTTTAAAATGTTACTATTTTCATCATTTAATATAGATTCCTTTATAAATCCTTTATTTGTACGGCATTGAAAGGCAGAATTCGCATAACAAGCATTATTTGGGTCTTAACCGATTGTATTCTATAGTTGCACTATCATTTGTCTTAATGCTTTTCGGATTAAGGTTAAGAATATGTAAGCCAGATAGGGTTTTTAAACGTGATAAAGCAACACAAGTTTGACCATCTGCAAATATACTATCACCAATATCAACAACTCCGGATGTGATTGTTAGTCCTTGGCTTTTATGAATAGTAATTGCATAAGCTAAACATATTGGAAGTTGTTTTCGAATTGTTAAAAAAATATTGTTATTCAGCTGAAACTTTGATTCGATACGTTCAATCTTAAATTCATTTTCTTCGAATTGGACAGACAATTTTACAAGATTTTTACAAGTGCGCGCGTTAACTATATTTACAGTTTCATGCAGCTTCTTTATTATCCCTATAGCTCCATTAACTAATCCAGAAGCAACATCTAGATTTCGAAGTAACATTATTTTTGCATCCTTTTTAATTTCTATTGTATCTGCTAAATTGGCTGTTTCTGAACACTTTCCCTTCTTGTTTAGTTTTTCCAAAGATTTAGCTGCTTTTGCTTTTTGAATGGCAGTCTTAGCTTCGATTAAGTCTTCAGCGATGAGCAATATTTTTTCTGATGGAATTTGTTCTAAATTTCTTGATTTCAACTTAAAGCATTGTTCCCTTGTCGGAAATTAACTCAAATAGAGTTTGGATTCGCACAAAAAAAGGTCAATGCTCAGGCAGTGTAAGATGCTCTGAACTGGTAAATGTGTCCATTTTTGTTGATTAATAACTTTGAAACGGGTATTTTTCCAAGAACTTGTCGTATACCAAAAGTTGAGGAATCTCAAGGGCTATATACCTTAAAATTTTATTTAAAATCGTTACAGCCGTTAGAAGAAAAGCTAAAAAAAAATATAATTAAATAAAAAAATTTTGGACCATAATTTTAAAACGGTGGTATTTAGACAAAACGTGTTTAAAAGGCGTTCATAGTAATTCGAAATACCTTTGTAATGACGTATAGCACAACCCTGTAGCTTCAGTACTTCACAAGTTACGGGTATACAAAATGTAGCTATTTATAGCTGTTTTCTCGCCAAACTAGTTAGTTTTTCCAAAAGTGGTAAAACTAATGTTTCTTATTTTGAGCTGCTTAAAATCGTCTAGAACTTTCAGGGCTCTAAAATAACGTTTTGGAACAAACTGACAGGACCCCGAAAATCTTGTTTTGCATATTACTTTTGAACGGAGCATCCGATTTTGACAGTTGAGGTGTCATTCGACGCGTATTTTAATTGAAAATACAACAACCGTACAGATCAAATTTTCCAAATTTTAACTTTTACACTTTCACCACTTTTTCTCCCACACCAATTGATTTTTTTTAAGTCTTGGTATGCTATTCTCTTAGTTTTTGCAATACATTTCGATTGATGTATCACTCGAAACAATTGGACGATTACTGTAGGTTTTCATTTCTTCGTGTATATATAGTAGTCGCCTTCGCACACCCTCCTCGTACGCTTCGTCACTACGTGGACTGCCGTCCACAGTGATTCCAGTCGCTTAAACTTACATAATAACAAGATTCTAAACATTTCGTACATTGTATTTTATGGAGTTTTCTTCCTTATAATTATTTCCATAACAATTCAGTTAGTCTCTTCTTCATTGATGTATTAGCTATTATGTTTTATCTATGTAAACTGTACATTGTACAGCCAATCACAGATCCCCGCCATAACAAGTCTCTTCTGTTACAGTGTGGTCTCCGTACCAGATCACCAACCCCCGCCATAACAAGTCTTCTTCTGTTATAGTGTGTTCGTCAAATTTCCTTTTAAGATACGAATACACCCACTCCTCTGGAGTCGTCTAAGTCTTAGTAAGTTTTTCGTTGGCAAAGCTCTTAAAAATGCATGCGAATAACTATAAGTTTTTTTATTAGTTAATGATTTCAAAACTTATTCATCTCAATCTAGCAATTCAATTATCTTAAAGTGACCTTTAAGTTGACTTTCATATTTCCCTTAGCTTGCTTTTTAACGCATGCTCTGCCTACTTCGTTTTCTGCTTCTACACTTATTGGCAATAGACGAAAAGATCTAGCTTCCTTTCCGATTTATAATTCCCATGCGCTGGCCCTTTTTATAGTGACGAACAATTCGTTTTTTGAATGTCATTTTTCAAAAATGGATATTTTTCTAAAGATTAAAAGCAGAAAGTTACTGACATTTAATGAGCATATTCCTAAAAGAGTTCGATGCTAAAATCCCAGCGAAGTTAAATACTACAGCGCTTGGAGTAGACCAATATTTTTTCACTATTAAAAGTTGCAGGGTAACGAACTGACAAATACACAAAACTCTATGGATATTTGAAAATTTTTATTCTTTCTTTAAAAAAAGGTGAAAATGTATAATAGTGGGATTGTATTGTTTAACTGTACACTTTCAAAAAATGTCGACTTCAGTTCTATGTTTAAATTAAATAATTTAGGTTATTCAATTTTAGTTAATTAAAGTCAACAAAAAAAAATTTTTTTTTAGCTATCGGCTTAGAAAGAAACTAATATCGATACGTCAACAAATTCCACAAAAAGTAATCATAAATTTTATAAACTATTAAACCAAATTATAGTAGTCTTACAGTTTAAAATACTTCTGTATTAATAATTGCGGTCGAGAAAAGGTTCTTTCCTGCAAATCAATCATATATCTAAAAAAAATTAAAAAAGACAAGAATATAACCGTGACCCGACCAAATTCAATTAAAACGCCAGTTTATGTCCATCCTTTATTTTAAATAAACAATATTAAATTACCTTAGAAAAACTCCCATTATTATGTTAAAGCTTACATAAAATATTTTCTAAAATTACGTAATATGTATTTATATGCTGTACATAATTCTTCAGCATTAACGAAGACTGTATGCATGGATGGGGTTACTCTTACAAATAACTATTATAGGAACAATTAACAACAAAACATATATGTGGAAAGACCCTTGACAACATTTCTCATTAAAAATCTTTATGTGAATTGCCAAAGATAGCCAAAACTTAGATCATGGAAATGTTCCATTGAAAACGAAAAAAAATATACATATCAAAGCTACATTTCGATTAAGCACACATTTTTAGGATATTTTTACAAATCTTGATTATGCACTAGCGTGGACCTATCCTAAAACTGTAAATCTTAAATCTCTTTAATTTTCGCTAGTCATGGCAACTAAACAAATTTTAAAACTTTTGCGATAGCGACTAAAAAAATTTATAAACGAATTTGTTTTTTTTCGAAAACTCTTGTAAAGCCGTATAATACTTAAATGGTATAAGAGGAAAATGTTACTGTAGCTGATGTTGCTGTGTCTGATGGTGTCGCCTCTCTCGAGCTCGTTCAATGTGTCGCTTTCGTTCTTCCTTTGTCCAATAACGACCAATTTTTACTTCAGATACTGTATCGTCCTCCGTTGTCGTAAGCTCGTTGCAGCGCATATTTTTTCGAACAGAAACTTGGGGACGATTACGTACTGGTCGCTTTACAATGTATCGCGTTCCATCTGGGCGTCTCTTAACTTTCCAAACCATTGGTATTTCTTCACTATTTTCACCGTTAAGCAACGTAGAATTTTGTTTTGAAATTGTGGAATCATGGCATCGGTTTGCAACCTATACAAAATACAATTATGAAATGCAATTTAGCGAAAATCAACATGTTAAAAAATAAAAAATAAACCGACAACCGAAAGGCAGACAAGCATCTCAGGTGGGCACTTTAATTCTGGTGTTGTTACTGTTTAATCGCTAAATTATTGAATATTGGTCAGCTGTTTTTGGAATTTTGGATAGTTGCAATTCGAAATTTGTTGCACAAGCGGGTTTGAAGATATATAGAGAACAATAAAACAACTGTCAATCCGGTTTTTAAAAAAATGTTGATTGCGTTCACCGACTTAAAACTAACCAGAATGTAGAACGCTATAGTCGAGTGCCTCGACTATCCAATACCCATTGCTCAGCTAAAGTGAGCAGGAGATAAACAAGCAGCAAATAGAGATTTTATAGCGCCATTTACTCGCGATATTAATATATGGTAATGTGCGTGGCAGAGAAAGTTGGCGTTGCAAATTTTTTAGGTCAATCGATGGGTACTGACGAGACCAATACATTTTAGTTTTTCTTCCATTGAAGGAGTAGGAGCCAGAGTTTTGGGCGGTTTGTGGGCGTCAGAGTGGGCGCTATGTACGAAGATAAGGAATCTAAATCTGCAATCCCAGTTTTCTTATAGTTTCCGAGATCACACTATAAAAACCGTATCTATAGCCCACATACAACACGGGGAGTGTTCCAAATTTGAAGCTATGATCTGTAAAACGAAATATCTGCAAAAATTGAGAACAGTGTAATTTTTAACACGAGCATTACAATATGATTTTATTTATATTCAAATCCCATTATGTTTGATAAGTGAACTCCACTGCGCTCTCTTTAGAGCTCCACTTAAAAATTCGTTTTCCCAATTTTCGATTTAAAACAAACACATTAAGATAGTTTTATGGAGTATTCATTTAAACACACAACGTCCTTTATTCGTTTCAAAAACACCACTTAAACTGCTTTAAAGTCATATTTTGACCAATTTAAAGTGCTAGTATTACGTCGAATTTCTATAGCCCGAGAATGGAATTTATAAAAGCTGGCCTTACAGTAACTGTCTGTGAGCTTTTCTTTTTGCATGATTGTTTGCCTATCTATTCCTATTATTCGGCCAACTGGTCGCAGGTTGCGGATAGCGAGCGCCCTGGTTCTCCAGGGTAGCTACGAATAAGCGTGGAAGTTAGACACGGCCCGGCTCCCGCCAAGCCCCCAACACGAAGCGTAAATAAGTAGCCCCGGACAGTCAGCGGGTATCTGCGCCGTAGCAGTACCGACGTCGCGCTTGTGCTGCCGCCTCCGACAAATAGCTCACACATACCCCCTTCCCACACTCTTTGAACCTACCTCCTCCCTACCCCCACAACTCATCTCGCCCCGGGCTGGACTAAGGTGTCACTCGTACCGTGCCGAGAGTCAATCTGGCTGGGAGCCCGAGTTATCAAAAACTCAGTCTCAAACTGTGAGCTCAGGCAAGTGGCGACCGCCTGTTCTAAGTCAGCCTTAAGTGGGTACAGCGGATCTCTGCCCGGATGGAGCTGTCCCATCTCCGCAGCTCGTGGGAACTAACATAGAGAATTCACTAATAACAAAAACAAAACAGGCAACAACACCAAAAAAGAGCCCGACACTCTCAAGAAGAGCAAGATCACTGCTCCGATTACCCTAGTCCCTGTGACGTCTACCCCTGCCAAGGCCAGCGAACAACGCAGCCGGCTAAGCCCAACTCACCATAAGGACAAGCCCAAGCCTTCCACCAGCGTAGGTGTGGCTAACCAGCTACTCCAACCTGAGGGGATCGCCAAAGCCGGTCTCGTGGTGAGTACCAGGACAAAGGAGTTCAAGAGGCGTTAATCCCAGACTTCGACATCGCTATGACTACCAGCAACAGCAACAAGCGAGAGAGGTCGATGGGGACAGCTCAACCAGCGAGCAAGAAGGCCAGAGTAACCAACCGCGGCAACCGCGGTCGAGATCCTTTGCTGAGATAGTAAAGGATCGGAAGATCATTGGAGTCATCAACCAGAGCGGTGAAGGCGGTAGGATCCCAAGGATCCAATGGGGTCTGGTTAGACGGGCCCTTGCGTCAGTGGCCTTGAAAGTGAAAGGTCAATGTTAAGTTGATCGCCTGTGAAGACGAGAGATCGGCAGCACTTTACAAGGCTGCCATTAACAAAGTCGGCGAGGTCTACCCCGGGGCCAAGTTGGCAGTTTGCGAGGCCGCTGACATCCCGTCTTGACCGATAGCAAGGGTGTGGCTGCCGTCGGAACCCTCGGAACCAGAGGCTATACTCAGCCTGCTGACCAGGTTCAACCCGAAGCTTCCAACAGACGGTCAAGGTGGAGAAAACCGAGCGCGTCACCATGAACGTGGTAATTCTCTTGAACCAGGCCTGCTTGGAACCCCTCGCAGCCCAACAAAACCGGGTGAACTACGGCTTCGATAAGGTGCAAATACGCACCTTCGACACAGATAAGCTAGCGGCAGACAACCTGGCTGCCTGTGCGTCGTACGAACCCCCGAGCGACGACGAATTGGAGCATGAGGAGGCCACCATCACTGGCTACGTGTCAACCGACTCGGAGCTGACAGAGAGCCTGAATCAGCTGTGCACTCAGGACATAAACCGACCCGGGCGTACTGTTCACCAGGACATAGCGGAGGAAGCGGAGGGTACCCAGCCCGACCACGGTCCTAAAGATGGTGCAGTTCCTGCAGATTAACCTGCACCATAGCAAGGCAGCATCCGCTGCCCTCCTCACCCGCCTGGCGACAGGCAACATAGACGTAGTCCTCATTTAAGAGCCATGGATTGTTGGTAACAACATCTGTGGCTTATCAACCCCCCTATACAAGCTATTTTACACCAAGGATTAGGGTAAAACCAGAACCTGCATTCTTACAAAGACACACTTTAACACATTTCTTATTCCACAGTTTAGCGAAGGCGACCTCACCACGGTCAGACTGGAGCTAAACGAAAACACTTATCACACCATAGCAGCATTCTATCTGGCTCACGACTACGAAGGACCTCTACCAAACACCACTACACAACAACTCATACATACACACTCATCTAAGGAACTCATCCAGGGTGGGGACGCTAACTCACACCACACGCAATGGGGAAGTACAAACACAAACGAAAGGGGTGAGTTACTCTACGACTATCTCCTTCAATCAAATCTATTCATCTGCAACAAAGGTAATGACCCAACTTTCATCACTAGAAATAGGAGGGAAGTCTTAAACATTACACTAATATCTGATATCCCTACTTAACCAGCTAGAAGCGTGGAAGGTGGGGATCGAGCACTCATTCTCAGACCACCGATACATAGAATTTACAATAACTCTCGACTGTCCTCCCGCCGAGAACATTACTAATCTAAGATTAACCAACTGGGGATACTACAAAAATCTCCTCAACAGGAACCTACACGCTCCACCGACGCACGTACGCAACGGTCAAGAATTAGATAACCTAGTTAACACTGATATCTGCGGTGAGGCCTTAAAAAGGACTTGACCAAGCAGAACAGTCAAAGCAAAGCACAAACCCCCATGGTGGAACGCAACCCTGGCGAACCTTTAAAGAGAGTGTAGAACTTACTTCAATAGAGCTAAATACAACAATAGCGTATCTTCCTGGAATTTATACCATACAAAACTAAGCCTATACAAAAAGGAAATTAGAATATCAAACCGAAGAGCTTGGGCTAATTTCTGCAGTAGCATAGCATCCAGACTCAGAAGAATTTTAGCAAAATCTCCAGCAACCATTGGCTATCTAAAAACCAATGCTGACAGCTGTTAGACACCCACTTCCCTAAAAACACCCATGTAGTGGAGGACGTCTACATAGAGGAGAACTTAGACGACCAGGGTATAGACAACACCTCGAACCCTGGCCGCAATCAGTGGGCTGTTAACTCTTTTAAGGCCTTCAAATCCCCCGGCCCAGATGGGTTCTTCCCGGCCCAGCTACAACGGACACTAGATATTTCCCTACCCTGGCGGACAGCCATCTTCCACGGCTGCCTTGCTCTAAACCATATTCCAACAAGGTGGCTGGACGTTAAGGTAATTTTTATACCGAAAGCCGGCAAACCCTCCCACACCAACCCAAAGGACTTCCGCCCGATTAGTCCCTCTTCCTTCTTGTTGAAGACCCTGGAAAGGCTAATTGACACCCATATCAGGCTAACCATCGACCAAAGCCTACTCTCTGACGCACAGCACGCGTACCGTAAGGGTAGATCAACAGATACCGCCCTCCACTCTCCTCAGCAGAGGAACCCCACAAGGGGGCGTACTCTCACCTCTTCTATCGGTTTTAGTGGACAACAAACTGCTATTACTTCTAGAAGAGGCGGGCACTAAAGTGGTAGCCTACGCGGATGACGTGGTTATCCTACTGCAGGGTAAATTCCCGCAAACTCTTTGCAATCTAATGGAGACCGCCTTATCCACCCTCTCCAGGTGGACGGCTGTCTGTGGACTGGGAGTTAACCCAGGAAAGACCAAACTAGTTCTCTTTACAAGGATACGATATCTAATTCTCCCAAAACTACACCAAACGCGCCTAACCCTTAGCAACCAGGCAAAGTACCTAGGTGTCATCCTTGACAAAAAGCTTCTCTGGACAGACAACATCCTAGATCGCACTCGCAAAGCGGCCATAGCCCTCTTCGCTTGTAAAAAAGCCATATGGAGGAAGTGGGGTTTCTCCCCCATGATAGTTCACTGGCTATACACTGCAATAGTCAGGCCCATTCTCCTCTACGGAAACATCGTTTGGTGGCCTTCCCTAGAAAAGAATTGCAACCTCCGGATCCTTCACAAGATCCAAAGAAGTGCAGAGCCCTGCATCAGTGGGGCGCTTCGCACCACCGCCACTGAAGCACTTAACACAATTCTCGACCTCCAACCCCTGGACCTACTTGCCAAAAGCCCGGCATCTGCAACAGCGCTGAGGCTCCGCGAAGCAGCGGCATGGACAACAGGCTCTACGGGTCACTCCAACATCCTATCAAAACATACATCCTTACCACGCAATACAGACTACGTTCCACCCATAGCCAACTTCGAAAGAAGATCTTCATACCCACCCGTACAGACTGGGACAACCTCCCACACCAATTCGAAAACGCCGTCAGCATATACACAGACGGCTCCAAGCTTAACTCCCAAACAGGTGGGGAAGTCTTTTCCCCTAAACTAGACATAAAAGTCTCGTTCCACCTACCAGACCACTGTAGTGTTTTCCAAGCGGAAGACATGGCAATTCAGGAAGCCATGACCCACGTGGACACGTCAGTACATCTTGACATAGATATTTTCATCTTCTCGGATAGTCAAGAAGCCCTCAGGGCCCTCGACTCCTACACAACGAACTCAAAAACAATCTCTGAATGCCGCAAATCTCTTAACGAGATCGCCGCTCATCTGAGAATCAACCTCATCTGGGTGCCTGGACACCGCAATATTGAGAGCAACTGCATAGCAGATGAGCTAGCAAGTCAGGGGACAACCGCCGACATCCTTCGCAATAAGGACACGGTGGTAGCCAATGGCTACCTGCGAGCTCCTTCTCAGGCAGAGACTGTACACACTTTCCAACAACCGTTGACTCACATGGCCAAACTACAACTCGAAAAGAACAAAAACTCTCCTACAATGTAGCAGGGAGGACATTACCACTCTCCTAAATACCCCCACTGGCCACTGTCTTATAGGGACTCATGCGCTCAGGCTGGGACTCAGTAACCACGACTTCTGCCGCAGCTGCAAAACAGATAGACGAAGAGGAGAGCATCGAACACCTCCTATGCTTCTGCCCAGCGCATAACCTAAAGCACTTTCAAACACTAGGTAGCTACACACTTCCGAACCTTGCGGCCATTCAGGGCGTAAGCATCCATAAACTCGTATGTTTCTTGAGAAGAACAGAATTCTTCGCGAAAGCAAATAACCCATGAGCTAGGGAAAATGATCTAATCAGAGATCATGTGGTTTCACAAGGGGCCCAATGTGGCCTAAGTGTGGGGATTAGTATCTAATCTCCAACCACTCCAACCTAACCTAACCTAACCTTGCCTACCTGTCTGAAAGCATGTCTGGCTAAAGGCTAAGTAGTCCCCTCCCAATGAAATACACTTATGCTATAGTTTTTTTCCAGACCTCGAAACATGTCAAATAGTCCCTTTCCGGTATAGCTATCAGCGCCTACTGCGCCTACTGAGGGGTGCATGTGACTAACCAGACTCATACTGGCAAAGGCAGAAGAAAATGCATTTGGGCAATTCTCGGGTGTCGCGTGGCCAGAACAACGGCCACGATCGACCACACTCCGTTTGCTGGCAAAGGGCAACAGCCGGCCGTTGACTCCCAAGATAGCATATATCAAGAAACAGTAATCCTAGGTGGGAACACCTAGTTTATCTGATCTATACCGGCAGCCAAGTAAAAGCTCTAGTCTGGTATAAAAGACCTCAGACAAATAGAGAAAAGGAGAGAATCCATTTGGGTGTCTTGCTGACGGAACCAGCGCCGTCATTGTCATCAAAGAACGTGGAGAGGATCAACAATAAGGACGACATCCGACATACTGTGATGTTTGGGGACGCAGTATCCGTGATCCCCATGCTCCTGAAATTTATTCAGCTGTAGGAGCCATCCGTTCAGAGACATAGCGACCAATAGCATACGTCGGAGAAAGTAGTGATGCAATATAAATGTGTTAATCGAGCCAACCAAAGCTAAAGTGAACTCATGCATAACCAAAGACCAATATCCTCAAATAATACAATTGAATAACAAGTGAAAATCAAAAAAACATTGGAAGCATTCAAACATGCATTGAAATATATTTAAACCAACCGAATCAATAGACAAAGTGCGAGTCATGATGAACAATTAGAGAGGACGAATCCCTCCACCAGCCGTTGAAGAAGTCGCATGCCTCTGGCATAATATATATATATATATTTTTTGTGTTTAAGTGAATTGGTATCCTTAAGAACAGCCGTGTTTTGGTGCACGTATATTTATATATATATATCCAATATAATATTTTCCCAAAGCCCAGGATCCGGAGCGTCGAGATCTCATCGCCCAGGATTTAAAGAGGGGGTAAATTTGTCGGAACACGGTTCCTTTCCTATAAACATACATATATAAATATTTGTGCAGTATCCTAAAAGAACACTTGGCTACTATAAACTTTTCAGCGGCGAGTATCAGCCGTCATCGGACGGACAGACGGATATGGCTAGATCGACTCGTCTAGTCATGCTGATCAAGAATATATATACTTTATGGGGTCGGAAACGTTTCCTTCACTGCGTTGCAAACTTCGGACTGAAATCAAAATACCCTCTGCAAGGGTATAAAAATAGTAATCGGCGCTATTTGTTTATTTATGAATATTTTTTATGGTGGCGGTAGGGGCGATTGACATTCATGAGTACTTTAATAAAAAATTGGTTTGTGTGTTTCAAACAATGCCAACTGTAGAAATCGTGGCACCCAGATTTTGCAATATCGTTTTGAATCAACCATATCTACGCCGGAAGTTAACCGTATTGGATTGGGCGGTTTGTGGGCGTGGACACTGACGAAACAAACTTGCGCTGTGGATCTCTAGAATCTGCATGCCTAATCCCAGTATTGCAGCTTTTATAGTTTCCGAGATCACAGAGTTCATACGGACAGAAGGACATGGCTAGATCCACTCGTCTAGTGATCCTGATCTAGAGTATATCTACTTTATGGGGTAACGGGTATAAAAGTAGTTGGTTAACTTCCTGTTTGAATATTATATTAAATACACTATTTGTGTATGATAAACCCAAATAGGTTTCAGCTAGTTTCGATAAGTACTTTTCGTACTTGAAATCCAAATTGCGGTTACATTTTTTGTGATGCTTTGTTTTATTTAGTGATGAATTAATACCAACACCTTCATACTACCTGTAGTATATTTTCCGTCCAATTGGTTAACCAAATAGCACTTACCTCTTGACTACTTACGAAGTGGTAGCTACTCAAATTTGGTGCATTAAACTGGGGACAATGGCTATATGATTCCTCAGTTTCTTTGACACCTAATACGTTATGGTCGCTTTTAACTTGAATTTCACTTTCGTAGGTTGCCTTGCCTTGTTTCTCTGAAATAAAATGTAATAAACATCATTATTAATGGTTGGCAGGTTTAACATCTTATAAACAAGATTACTCAAAGAGTAGTTCTAAGAGTTCCTATGCAGCTCAAGTTGTTTATCCCAATGCGCCTCGCCCAATCTCACGCCAAAACGATAAATCCCATCTGGCGCACACATGATACATGCCAAAAATTAATGAAATTGGACCATTTATTAAAAAGCTATGAGCAATTAAAGACGCTGGTGGAGCCAGTTTTCGATTTCGGAAACAGTCGCTCTGGCGCTCTCTTTTGAGACTTTGCCAATGATGCCACCCAGGCAAATAACAATAATTTCCCTATTTTTTAAAATGTTCGATGTGACCTCGTAATTCGTTCCCGTGGTGAGTTTTATGGGAAATTATATATCTGCACCGCTCTTACTCACTGTTTTGTTTTCGTAATTGATCCTCACCACTATTGCAGTTGCTTCGCACTTGTTGGGTGTGTTGAAAAATCTAAGTTAGCTTCAAACTTGACCTTGAATTGGCTCTCAGCAGAGGTTGGGCAGAGGTTCGGGCAGTGCAAATGGTGTCTCTATATAGATTCGTACTCTATGCGCTGACAATTGTAAATCTAGAGAGCTTAAACTTGAGATGTAGTGCCTAGGGTCCACGCCCTTTCTTACGAACACAATCGCTTATAAGGCAATTTTATGTATGATAACCAAAAAAATGTTCAATGTAAAGTAAAATTGGTCCACTGTCCTTCCTTTAAACCCTTTCGTCCGATTTTTACGTATTTTACATATTTTATTACATTTCTATTGCTTTGTGCAAGAACATGATATAGTTATCAGATGCAGATTATCTTAAGATATATAAAGGAAAAAATTTTAATTGAACATTCCATAGGGGGCCTAGGTTCAAAAAAGATTTGAACAGCAAAATAAATACTTTTAAATGCCTCGTAACTACTACTATATTTATATTATCGAAGTTTTTACATTAAAACTTATTTTATGAAAAGCACAAATCATAGACAAAAAATAATTGTTAAAATCCCCAATATTTGGGAGCTTAATAATACCGTTACTCGTAGAGTAAAAGGGTATACTAGATTCGTCGGAAAGTATGTAACAGGCAGCAGGAAGCGTTTCCGACCCCATATAGTATATAGCCGAGTCGATATTGCCATGTAGCCATGTCCGTCTGTCTGTCTGTCCGGATGAACGCTGAGATCTCGGAAACTATAAGACCTAGGCTATTTGAGATTTGGCGTGCAGAATCCTGAGCTTCTTACGCAGCGCAAGTTTGTTTCAGCAATGTGCCACGCCCACTCTAACGCCCACAAGCCGCCCAAAACTGTGGCTCCTGCAGTTTTGATGCTAGAATAAAAAATTTTAACTGAAATGTATTGTTCTCATCAATACCTATCCATTGATCCAAAAAAAAAGTTTGCCACGCCCACTCTAACGCCCACAAACTTCGAAAAATCGTTAATATGAACGCGGATGTCTTGGAAACTATCAAAGATAGAGAATTGGGATCCTTAGCCTTGTACGCAGCGCAAGTTTGTTACGCGAATATGCCACGCCCACTCTAACGCCCACAAACGGCCCAAGCCTGTGGCGCCCACAATTTTTATGCTAGATAAAAAATTTAAACTGAGATGTATTGGTCTTGTCAATACCTATCGATTGATACAACAAAAAATTTACCACGCCCACTCTAACGCCCATAACGCTTAAATCTGTCTACCGTCGGTAGGTGGCGCATTTCAATCTCGCCTTGCTTCTTGCATATCTACATTTCCCTTTGGTCTCTTTAGCGGAGTAACGGGTATCTGATAGTCGAGGTACTAGACTATAGCGTTCTTCCTTGTTTTTTTTTTAATCCAGGCGATATATATGGTTAAATTCTTAAGTACTTATTTAAAATTTCAATTTTAAAGATTTTTTTAGATTTCGTGCTATTCGCATTTTCGCGCAGAAGATCCTAGAAGATACAAGAGAGCGGGACCAAAACAAACGAGAGCGATTGAAAGAAAACACGAAATGGATTTGGAAGGAACGAGTGGAAGAATTTCAACGGAAGAGGAGGCGCAGCCTAAATGGACATTGGGTTTTCAAAAAATATATATAGGTTTTTATACCCTTACTCGTAAAGTGAAAGGGTATATTGTATTCGGGGAAAAGTATTTAACAGGTAGAGGAACCGTCTCCGACCCCATAAAGTATATATATATATATATATAGGAATTGAAAATAATGTTCTTCAGGTCGTTTAGCCTGACGTAACGCATTTCAATCGCGTTGGTCCTTAAACCACGACTTGTGACGGTGATTGACTTGATCAGGAGCACTAGCCGAGTCGATCTAGCCATGCCCGTCTGTCCGCCTGTTTGTCTGTCTGTCCGTCCGTATGAACGCTGAGATTTCGAAAACTATTAAAGATAAAAAGTTAGGCTTTGTCATGCAGATTCTTGAGGTTCTGGGATAGCGCATTCTTAAGGTTCAGCAGTATGTAACGCTCACTCTAACGCCCACAAACGCCCACGCTTAAATCTGTCTAGCGCCCGTGTTATTTTAAGATTTTACTAAAAATTAAAACTTCCCTGAGGAATTAAAAAAACTAAGCTTATTAGCTTGTGAACAAAATGAGCGAACAACAGACAAACTTATCAAAAGAGCAACTAAACTGGCTTTTCTCGCACCCATACAGATTTCTTAATGTAAAGGCTAAAATTTTTTTTCCTTAAATACCAATATTATTCTTCGGCAAATATGGAGGGAAAACATGTCTTCATGCACATAGTCTCACTACATAGATTAGAAAACACCCATACGATTAAACGGCCCCCAAATATATCAAGCCCATATGCAAGGAGTCCTACATTTATCTATTGAATTGATTTGCCTACCGTTGACATACGCTGTTGGCATATTTGAAGAACAGAGACCAATTCGACCAGATTTACCAAAAGGTAACAGCAGCATACTGCTTACAGCAGTTGTATCCAAAGCTTCTCTGCGGCCATCGATCACTCTGCTCTCTAGCTTGTGGTTAACAGTGTTATCTTCATCAGCATTTGTAGTATTTTGATGCGGGGAGGCGCTATTGTTTGAGCCACCAGTGTTGTAGGCACTTGAGGAGTTATCAACCTCTTCGCCAAGAGCCACGCTTGCAGCAAGAACATTATTTGGTCCATAGGCACTGTATGCAACTCCACTACTGCTGGATCGGCTTGTGTTTGTCAATGTGCTGCGTAATGTAAAAACACGACTGCAAGTTGGTTGTTGGGTTAATTTTAGTGGCGGGGGACGTCCAACTAGCGTGTGTATTGTTCTCGGATATTGCGGCTTTAAACCTAACCATTGAGCAACACGCTGAGTTTGTTGCTGCATTGTCGTTTCTAATACTTCTCCCGGAGTCGTCGTTAGTGCGGATGGGAAACAGCCTAATGACGCCTTGCCGTTTGAACTTTGATAAGGGGAACAGTAAAGTGGTTCAGACTCAGAATCTTCTGGAATAGTCTCGTAAATGTGCTCGCTTTCGTCGTACTCATGTTGGAGATGAACTTGATTATCGCTTAAAGATTGGTTTTCAGTTTTTCGATTATCAAAACTGGCATCTGGACGAAGCTTTAATTTACCAAACATCTTGCTAGATTGGTCAACCATTTTTTTTGGTAGAGAAGATGTTTGAACTTTTAAGTCTGGTGAATGCTCGCCCGTTTCATTGGATAGTTCCTCAAAAGACTGTACGTGGCTTAATAATACTTTATCCAATTTATCCACTACATTTGTGTAGTCATCTGATATAAATGTATTTGCATATTCAAAATTAATGTCTTCGTCATCCTCGTCTTCCTATCCGTTTAAAAATATATTAATTAGTTAAAGTAAAAACATTTGAAAATTTTTTGCAGTGCCTAATTAAAATAGTAATTATTAAAAGTTCGTTTTGATTTTTAGATCATCATTTAAAGATCCAAATATAAAAAGTATTTATGGCTGGATATTTCTAAACAACTTTAGTGAAACCGTTACGAACTCTAAAGACGGGGTCGACATCAACTGCGTTGATTTTGAGAAAATTTTTTATGAATTTCACAAATATTTTAATTATGCACTTATTAAGAAAAACTCAAGCTTACAGGGTATAGAATTCGACTAACTAGGAGCGTTACTGCGGTGCTACTCTCCGCTATCTGATTTTCCACCTCCTCCTGGTTTTTAACATCCACACCGTTAATACGAAGAATTTGATCACCCTGTCGTAGGCGCCCATCTCTATGAGCTATACTTTCCGGTTGAATGCCACTGATAAACACATCCTCGCAGTGTTCTGTTTCATTGCACAGTATATCACCTTTATTCGTTTCGATGCTTGACGACTGAAATCCGGATGAGCAAATAATCAGCCCGATTTGATTGTTCGTCGAATTTTCAACCGCTTTCATAAGGGTCACTTCCTTTAAATATAAAACATAAAACAGTTAGTTCTTGGCATACATTGTTTACTCACTGCAGACTATTATACAGCTGCGACTACAACAATAGAGAGTTCTATAGCCGAGTGTCCGGCTAACGGGTACCCGTTATTCAGGTACAGAGTCACCAGACTATCTCTAAAACAAGGGGAAAATATAGCTAGACAGCTATATTTTTACTTAGAAAATTAAAACTTTGAATAGAATAGCCCACGATTAAGAAAAACTAAGCAAACATTTTTTCACATTGTTATACCCGTTACTCGTAGAGTAAAAGGGTATACTAGATTCGTCGGAAAGTATGTAACAGGCCGAAGGAAGCGTTTCCGACCCCATAAAGTATATATATTCTTGATCAGGATCACTAGCCGAGTCGATCTAGCCATGTCCGTCTGTCCGTCTGTCCGTCTGTCTGTCCGGATGAACGCTGAGATCTCGGAAACTATGAGGGCTAGGCTATTGAGATTTGGCGTAAAGATTCCTGAGCTTCTTACGCAGCGCAAGTTTGTTTCAGTAGACTGCCACGCCCACTCTAACGCCCACAAACCGCCCGAAACTGTAACTTCTACAGTTTTGATGCTAGATAGAAAATTTTAACTGAAATGTATTGTTCTCATCAATACCTATAAAAAAAAATTTGCCACGCCCACTTTAACGCCCACAAACCGCGAAAACCTGTGACGCCCACAATTTGCATGCTAGATAAAAAATTTTAACTGAAATGTATTGGTGTCGTCAATACCTATCGATTGATCCAAAAATAAATTTGCCACGCCCACTCTAACGCCCATAACGCTTAAATCTGTCTACCGCCGGTAGGTGGCGCATTTTAATCTCGCTTTGCTGCTTGCATATCTCCATTTCCCTTTGAGTAACGGGTATCTGATAGTCGAGGTACTCGACTATAGCGTTCTTCCTTGTTTTTTCATTAATTTTTCGATAGTTCCTATGGCAGCTGAATATATAAAAAGGTCGTACCCCAAAGTTCTTACTTGCTCATTATTTCTCTGATCATTCGCTCCATTTTTACAAAATAAATTCGAAATTCTGAAATACTAAAAATTGGTATTCCTAGGAGTGAAAGATAATATTTCAAGAAAGGCCAAAGCTACATTAATCATTTTTTTCATTATTTTTTCTATGGTCCATGATCCGTTCTTAATGTTGCTACTCAGACATTAAAAAACACAAAAAACGATTAGACATTATGAGTGCAATTGGTTCTAAAAAAATGTATGTCAATTTGAGGTTTTCTACCAGTCAAGCTGATCTTGACAGCCCTTAGAGCTCTTGGTAGTTTAGCTAGTGGTTCTGCAGCTATTACAAAAACAATTAACATTGCGATTATGGCCAAAGAAGACATGGAGGAGAAAACCCGCTACAACGAGAAAATTTAGAGTTGCTGTGGGAGAAGGATTGTATCTCAGGCCCTACAGAAAGGGTTATGGATTCAGTCTTCAACCCCATAGTAAGGGATATACATAATTTAAGAAGCGAAAAAACTAAAATACCACTATCTAACATCGACATTATAAAATTCGCAAAAAAAATCGATCGCATATCATAAAAGAACTACATCCAGAGTTACCAAAAAGTCGGGAGTGTGGTATAATTTACAATTAAGTTGAGCACATTGGGTCGCATATAATAAGAGTAAAAATAATAATCATTATATTTGATAGTTTTGGAAATCTACAGCCACCGAGATAAGTTGTAAAATACTTGAAGGATAGAATACAATACAATTACGACTGTGTCTCTTATTCCTACTTTCATTCGTGGAAGAAGTGGTGTCATAACCGGTATATTTAGAACCATCAAGGTGCAGCATAAAAAAACTAGCAACCATCTAATACCACCGAAAACCATCAAGGAACTACAAAAAACATCCAACCAAACCAACTAATACCAGCTCTATACCAACTAATACCAGCTTCCAAACAGATTTTAAACAGCTAGTTAGCAAATAGAAAACACCTAGTGAAAATCTAAAAAAAAACATGGAAGAACGCTATAGTCGAGTACCTCGACTATCAGATACCCGTTACTCAGCTAATGGGACCAAAGGGAAATGGAGATATGCAAGCAGCAAAGCGAGATTAAAATGCGCCACCTACCGGCGGTAGACAGATTTAACCGTTATGGGCGTTAGAGTGGGCGTGGCAAATTTTTTGGGTCAATCGATAGGTATTGACGAGACCAATACATTTCAGTTAAAATTTTTTATCTAGCATGAAAATTGTGGGCGCCACAGGTTTGGGCGGTTTGTGGGCGTTAGAGTGGGCGTGGAAAACTTTTTTTTGGTCAATCGATAGGTATTGATGAGAGCAATACATTTCAGTTAAAATTTTTTTTCTAACATCAAAACTGTACGAGCCACAGTTTTGGGCGGTTTGTGGGCGTTAGAGTGGACGTGGCACTCTGCTGAAACAAACTTGCGCTGCGCAGGAATCTCAGGAATCTGCATGCCTAATCCCAGTATTGTAGCTTGTATAGTTTCCGAGATCTCAGCGCTCATACGGACAGACGGACATGGCTAGATCGACTCGGCTAGTGATCCTGATCAAGAATATATATACTTTATGGGGTCGGAAACGCTTCCTTCTGCCTGTTACATACTTTCCGACGAATCTAGTATACCCTTTTACTCTACGAGTAACGGGTATAACAACTAGCCAAGTCCAAAGAGCTCTATCATCAACGTGAATCAGAAAAACGGTTGTCCGATCCGCCTCGCTCCGACTTACATACATACATACAACATGCAAAAGAAAAAAGACTTTCGGGAAAGTTTTATCCCGATAGCTTTTAACTGAAAGACTAGGACGGACGTACGGAAAGACGAACATGGACAGATCGCCTCGTCTAGTGATGCAGATCAAGAATATACATTTATGTACACTTGGTGTCGGAAACGTCTTCTTCACTGAGTTGCAAACTTCTGACTGGAAATGGTCTGGCCACAACTGAAATAGTCTGTGGGAGTGTCCGAAGAATTTCATAGAAGGGCCAACATCTTAATGTCATGTTATATGGCTGAGAAAGGTAACTGAGACTTAAATCAGTGGTGCCCACACAAATCCAATGAAATTTAAGACTTGTAAGTTGTCCGAAGTTATCCGAAGACGCATCCCGAAGCCACACCAGTGTTTAATCTCTCAAGACTCGCAGTCAGGCCAGTGGGTATTGATTTAAATCGTTTGGAAAACCCAATTCGTTCTCTCAATAAGGTGTACATTTTCCGAGCGACAAAACTTGTGTCAGATGTTACACGATTAAGTGGAAAATGTCATTTCAATTTGTCGATCGAAAAAGTAGAGAACTATCTGTCCGAAACACATAAAGTTGAGAAAAATTCATAGGGTTTTTCGACACCTCTAATTTATATGAACGAGAAGCAATTATAGAGTGTGCCATTAAAGTTTAACGTTCGAGACTAGAAAATTTCATCTTAGTAGGCTTTTGCGAATCAGCTGTGAGCACCGAAAAATACTTAACAGGGATTCTGAGTCCCTGGCAGAGTTAGCTCTCACATTGACACTCGAGAAATCCAAATTTCCTAAGCAGCCACACTATCTCTCCGTAAGTGTCAGCCCGCACTCTAGCAACCCTCAGTAAAGTACTAACATGTTATTGAGTAACTAAAAGGTTATAAAAAGTTAATGTATCACAACGACAAAGTTATCGTGGTATTGAGAGTACTTTATTAAAGTACTATATTAAATCAGTCAAGTACTCAAGGTGAAACTGTAGTTAGTCCTGGACTAAAAAACATTGTGTACTTATATGTTGGTAACTACCTCAATATCGATTTCCGGTTCAAGGCATTGTTCAAACAAGTGGTGTTCCTGCTCGATGAAGTGGTTGGTTATAGTCTGAACAAAATCGTGATTGCTCAAAACATCTGTGTCGTTGGAAGGTTGCGTTTGCGTTTCCTTCGTCGCGGCCAAATCTGTGGAATTGCCCAAACGTTCTTCATGGCTTAAAGCACGAAGAGTTAAAATTACAGGACTTTTTGTTGCCGTTACATCCAAAGTTGCAGGAATTATTGACGTGGCATTTACTGGCTGAGAGGCACTTGCAGTTGTTGTAGACGCTGCTTCGGCTGGATTTTCAATTAAGGCAGATAAATCTGATTCGCTTGTGATTGATTGCAAAGCATTTGGAACGGTTTTCTCCACTTCTGATAGTTTAGCGTTGACGTCTTGTTGTAATCCTAAATCTAATTCATTGTGCTTCTGTCTGCACAATTCAACTACTAGGGTTTCTTTGGCTTGAAGGAACTTTTGAACCGCTTCATACCTCGGCAAATGGGTAATATCGTAACCGTTTATCTGAAATAAAATATGTTTTTTAACGGTTTGTGAAACGCATTGGATATACCAATACAGATTTTCTGGGGTAAAAACATCCGCACGAATGTTTTCCCACATTGAAAACATACTTTTAATACAACATATTCGTACTCCACCTCAACAATGCAATTATTCATATTGCTGGTTAATTAACAACAACTCATCGTATATTCATTTAATTGTATACATATTTTTTCGACTGCTTAGAGTGTGGCCAGCCTCACACGTTGTTTTTACGGCAATTTTAATGTCCAGTTCGATAGTCAGAAGTAATCGTAGTTGCTGCAAAATACAGCTCTTTACATCTTTTAATGTTTTCTTGGTTGAATCCTAAAACACATAGCACATATTTTATGCATATTTGAAAAAAGCAAACTAAAAAAACTAAGGTAATATGTTAAATAAAAAATAAAACAACATTGTTCTAATCTACTATTTATTACTGTTTAACCATTAGGTTTTGTCGTTCCGGAAATTTGCGAGCTAGTCCGCCATCCAAATTTGACGGACATTTTCATGCGGTGGTTAGCCATTGTTTTTCAGTGTAAGCCTTAATTATTCTTTTTGACAATCAAATTTGGAACTTTGTTAAAAGTTTAGATAGGTTTAAAACTGTTGTTCTATGGATTTTTTTTTATAAAAAAGAACAAGACAGCAACAAAAGACACCGCAAAAGATTTAACGACCTTTTCGCGTAGGAAACTGTCTAATTTCACGGTCGAAAAAAAGAATTTAGGGTTGATTCCAAACATCATCGCCAACCATTTCATTTTTGCCCTCCATTTTTGTATGGGACAAAATCCAACGTTGGTCCACTGTTAGCCAATTTTCTCAAAACCTGCGGGTTTGATTTTAATGAAACTTTCTAAAAAGAAGCTTAACGCCTTATAGGCTGGCTTAACGTGCATATTGGCACTACCTCTCTGAGGGATGCAGTTAGCAATATTTTGGGGACACGATTTGTCAAATGCATTTTTGAAACATTAATATGCAGCAGATTTGCTCCAAACCTCCTAGATCGTTAGATATTTTTTTCTAAACAATTTTCCATTTTATATTTTTTGGTTTGGTCTCCAAATAGCAAGAAAATTACAAAGTAAAAAGTGCTAATTTGACGGACATCGAAAAAATGGAAAGCAGCGCTAGGCTAAATTCAATTTAAGCGCTAGCATGTGGAATGTTTTCAATGATTATTGCATTGCTATTAGCAAATTGGTCTAGAATGAGATTTCCATTCAGGCAAGCTTCTTGAAATAAATAGGTACTATTGTGAGCCTACGTAACTGCACGAAAATTTTCATAAGTGGAACCTTTTAAGAATTAATAACACCTTCCTCGCATATTGTTCTTTGGATCTATGTACCCATTTTCTAGCAACCATTTTTGGAGGTGGATGAGCCTTCAAATCGCTTTTTCTTTTATAAATTACGTACGTTTTGGTGCCACAGATGCCAGGTCTTGCCAAGGACATAAGCTGGAGGTGGGTCATTACCTTAAAAAAGCAATACAATATTTATTTTCAATATGAGATCAATTGCTGAGTTTCGAGCCGTCGGGAGGCTCATTGGACCTGCACAATCAAAAATTCCTTATAATAGCGCCATTGTTAAGCAAAGGCATTTTCTTCTAAAAAAAAAAACAGAAAAAAATACTGAATAAAACACTGGAGTACCGTATCGATTGACGTAAGCTGTCCCATATTCCGCTGCAGCGAGTTGTGGCGACTTTTTCCCGTCTCTTTCCTATAGCCTAGTACTCAGATCGGCTAAGAGTGACCGAAGTTTTCAAAGTTTACCCGCAATGCATGTGGCATGGTCTTACTGTCAAGCAGCTGGGCTTTTTGCCAAACGGAAAACAAATCAATTGAAAAAAGAAAAGTCTGCTGGTGCACAAAGAAGTTAAAACCAAAATAAATGAAATGCTCAACGAATGTTTTTATTTATGTAAATTAGAGTTAGTTTAAGGCTTCCTTCTCGTCCCACGGATGCTTCGCTATCTTTCCCACGCCATCTGCAGCCCAGCTCCGAGTCCCAATAGGCTGGCCAATAATGGCTGGTGATGGCTCCTCCAGCTGTCCCATAGCGGGCGACCGTATTTTCTCCTCCCGTTTTAGCTATCAAGTAGCTGGTGGAGGTGGAGTCCTCAATGGAGAGCTCGTCGGAGATCGAGCGATGTCCGATGTTCCTTCCCACTGGGCTTCTTTAGTGAATCTCCTCCAGCGCTTCAATTATTCTGCGGATTTGCCCCGTTGTGGTATTGCTTCCTGTCGGTCAAGTCCCACAACAATGGGCAACAGCTGGGATTAGGCGTCTTTTTTCATCTGCACTGACCTCCTTTAGCCGTTTTTGGTGTTTTTCTTTCATTTTTAATTTTTAAATTCCCCACCGCTTCTGCACGAATGACGGCCAAAGATTAAATTTCTTGTTCTTTGGGCCGCGGCTAACGGCGTTCATCGAAAATTCACTCGCGAAATCTGGTATTTTTTCTTGTATTTCCTTAGCTCATCTGAGTACCGCGCTGAAAAACAGACCCGACGAAAACCTTTAGCCGCGTACTTGCCTCTCGCTCACTCCTATAGATAGCTCGCGGTTTTCGTCGATCTGAGTACTAGGCTTATACGTGCATTTTTATACCCTTGCAGAGGGTATTATGATTTCAGTCAGAAGTTTGCAACGCAGTGAAGGAGACGTTTCCGACCTCATAAAGTATGAATATTCTTGATCAGCATCACTAGACGGGTCATGTCCGTCCGCTTCTACGCATACTAGTCTCTCAGTTTTAAAGCTATCGGGCTAAAACTTTCCCAAAAGTCTTATTTATTTTGCAGGTAGTATTTAAGTTGGAACCAGCCGGATCGGAAAACTATATGTTATAGCTCCCATAGGAATTATTTGAAAAAAATTTTTTTTTAATGTATCTATGGTGTTTTTTAACATATAAACTCCTACGCTTGGAAATAACATTTTTTAATTAGTTCTGAATTTCGAATTTATTTTTATGAAAATCGGACGACTATATCATATAGCTGCCATAGAAACGATCGGAAAATTGGTGGGAAAATAACATGAAATAAATCATAGCTTCGGTGTTTTTTGACATATTATCTTATACTAATGGGAATAAAATTTTTTGTATTTTTAAGAATTTCGAATTAAATTTAATAAAAATCGGACGACTCTCACTAATAAAAAAAATATTTTTTAAAAAATTTGCTTTGTTGATTTCGATTGTATTTTCTTTTACTCTGGGATATAGAATTTTTAACTTTTCAGCATTACGTATTTAATTTTACAAAAATATCACTGAGGTTAGCAACAATCCTTAAAAATATAACATGGTGCTACTAACTTTGACTACTCCTTATAACTACAAACTTTGGCTTGCCGAAGTTAACTTTCTATCTTGTTTATGGAGAAACTATCACAGACGCGGAATATGATCGCTGAAGCGAAAACTACCTGTGTGAATGCCCAACTTTTGTTGCCTATGCAAACCATATTTAAAAAAACCGAATAGGGCCCATAACTATATAACTCTATAACTCCAACATACTGTATACGGGCTTTAATTTAAGAAATTCTGCAAATTCTGTAACCGGGGCACTGTTTAAAACCACCTTATAAAAAATGTGGATCTGGAGGAAAATAATATGGCTGCATTTGGTGTTGCGTCTCTGGTGTGAACATAGTATAATAATATTAAAAGCAAGAAACCCGTTTAATTAAGTCTTCTTAAAGTTTGCCCAGCCCTTTATTTTAATTTTGTTGTTAAACTCGCCGGAGAAAAGAAAACAATTAAAAAAAACCTACTTGGATGTGAAATATATTTACAAATACCGTTCACGTGTAAGTACACAACTTGGTCAAAGTTTTATTAATGCACTAAATGTAGTATCGGTGTACCTGCTTAAACTCTGGAAAGAATTTTATAGACCTAACACGTTTAAACGACCATTCAGTTTCGAAAAATAAGTTCAACCTTCTTATATTTTATAATACTGATAGAGCACTGCACTACAAAAAATAATGTATGAAGCAATCTTACTACATTTTGGGGCAGTCGCCCCCCGTGTTCCGGCGTTACATTCATGAGCATGTATGTGCGTATGAAAATTCAAATGTATATGTTTTCAGCTATCGGTCGGCAATGTTTCAAAATTGTCAGCACTATTACCAGCGATCAACAGTTAGATATTATAACCCAGCAGTAACATTCAGCGCTTTTTGAGTAGTGAATCACTGCTAAAAGGTCATAACCAAGCGCCTAATGAGCGCTCAATTTGTATAAAAAGACACATAGACATGTCCTACGATACACGTCGGCTATAAAACTGGCACACATTGAGCACCTTTTAAGCGCTTTTTAATCACTAAACAGGCGCAAAAATGTCCTAGCCGGCTCTGCCGTCGTTGCGTTCCGCTCTGTGGCGTCGCAGTCGACTGCGAGTTGATTGTGTGCCAGTACTGAATAGCGGAACTGCGCAGTTCTATAACTATATTTTTAGCATCGTTGTAAGCAGAGCGTCGTCAGAGGCACTTTCAGGACTCGCGAGTCATTTTGTTAGCTGTGCAAAGCTTTGTGTAACGTTTTGTTATTTTTTATGTATGCTCTTTATCAGAATCACTAGCCGAGTCAGTCTAGCCTTGCCCGTCTGTCTGTCTGGGCTCTTGAAAGCCATCCAAGCTACAAAGATGGGACTAAGCATGCTGATTCTAGAGATTCCTGCGCAGCGCAAGTTTTATCCAGCACAGTGTCACGCCCACAAACCATCCCATACAGTGGCTTCGACAGGTTTAGTGCAAGAATAAAAATTGTAACCGAAATGTATGGCCCTCATCAATACTATCAATATACTATCAATACGCCCACGAACCTCAAAAAATTGTCCGTATGAACGATGATATATTGCAAACTATAATAGCTAAACAGTTTAAATTATACATGTAGATAAAGTTTAAAGAAATTCTTGCTCATCGCAAGTTTATTTCATTTGAAAATAAATTTTTTTGCTGAAATGTATTGGTTTCTTCAACACCTATTGATTGCCACGTCCACTCAAATGCGCAACTTAACTTTATTCAGTGCTATTCGCAAACACACATTTTCAATAATATACAGGGAGTAGTACAAAAATCGCTCGCATCTTCCACACGAATGCTAACGGATTTCTTGGACACCGCCACTCTCACACCCACCCCTCACTTATTTATATTATTTATTTTGTTAATACTAAAAGCATAAAGCCATTTACTTTCAGATTAAAGATGGCGACGCATGAGAAAATTCACTCATACTTTTCACAGCTTAATTCCCTCTCTGAAAAGATTACGCGCGACATAAATAGAGTAAGATCTTCATTCAGTCGAGATGCCTGGCTTGCGTTGACTTTAAATGAGCAGGAAAAAATATTGAACAATCGCCTAATAAATCCTGATATATACACTAAGTATTATAAAACGACTGAAACAACCTGTTCAGCACAAGAAGCACAGTTAAAAACAGATATTTCAAAAAGTGATTTTCAACAATTTCCTTATAGGGACGTTGTATATTCATATAACGGGCAAGACCTGCACACATATATTTATCAAAATGTTGGATTGAAAATATTACATGACGAAAATACCAGAGATTGCCGCGATGAACATTCTTATCCATTTAGTTATCGAACCAAATCCCAAATAAACATACTATCCAACGAACCTGATGATGTCTCTGTTGTCGGAGCTGCCGTCGATGTATCGAAATCCCTGTATTTAAAATTTACAAACAACCCAAAAATACCGAGTTTCCAAATTAATGTCAATGATAAGGTCGACGGTAACCAAAGAAAAACAAAAATGTGTAAGCAAGAAAACTACCAAAAAAGTAAATGTAATTATAGTAACGAACCATTATTGGACTCTGATGAAAAATTGCAACTGCTGTTTAGATTTGAATCAAAAAGTAGTATGTCGAACGATTTGTCTGATTATGAAAATGAATTTAAAGATATACGCCAAGACGAAAATGCAAAACTTTTAACACCCGAACTGCAAGTCCCAAAAGGTTTCGATTTTCTCAGTAATTGGTAAACCTTTTTTTTAGTCACCTGTTGTGTAGCAAGAAGCGATATTTATACCGTAAACAATTTCATCTCACTACGTTTTCTAATGTAGCAAACATTATTCGCAAGCTTCAATAAAACTTAACTTTCCCAATAGAAAGCACAATTGCTTTTACATTTATTCAAAATAATAAAATGCAAAACAATGTATCAAATTCATATTTATGTTCATTACTGGTAAACTGGGTAACAGGGAAGGAAAAAGTTTTTGTCAATTTTTTTGGAAATGAAAGGGTTTGTCAACCTTAAGAAATAAATTAATTAATTAAATTAATAAATTAATTAAAATATAAATTAACTGCGTATTTTCTAAACCCACATAAAAAACCAGAGAGCTATAGTCGATAGCATCGACTATCAGATACCCGTTACTCAGCTAAGGGGAGTGCGAGGGAGATAGAGATAAACAAGTAGACTTTTTAATAAATGGTCCGATATGAACAGTTTTTTAAATGTATATTGTCATAACCAAAACAAGATCTCACTTAAATTTTTCAAAAATATTAATATTAGAATGCGTGTGGCACCAACTTGCGCTGCTCAAGAAGCTCAAGAATCTACATGCAAAATCCCAAATTTCTAGCTCTTACAGTTACGGACGGGCAGTCAGGCGGACATGGGTAGATCGACTTGGCTTGTAATCCAGATCAAGAAGATATTTACATACTTTATGGGGTCGCAAACGCTTCCTTCTACCTGTTACATACTTTCCTACGACACTAGTATACCCTTTTATTTTAACAGGTATAAAAACTAAGGAGTTATGTAAACTTGAACCGCGATTTGTTAAATTTTTGTATGTGAAAAAAGTATTGAAATTTAGTTCGGTGGTGCCGATTCTATTCAAAATCCAAGCACATATTTAAAAAAAACATTCGAAGCAACATTTCCTAATTTAAATCCAATGTGCTATTTATGTGCATATGTGGGCTATTTTACAAATTTGGGCCTAAAAAATGGATTTTATCCAGAACCATGTCACCAACTGCTATAAAATGTTACACACACAGTTGCAAACAAATTTGTCCATTAAATAACATGTTGACTTACACATAGAGGAAGAGTACTTTTTGTGCTATTTATATGATCATGGCTGTATAAGTGCAAAAAACAATACAAATCCAAATTTAAAAAAATTAAAAATCTTTTGTTCAGCGACATGATAATTGTACGAAGTTTCTTGGACAAACAGAAATATAAACGCTATATCCTCGGACACTAAAATCCCATTATAAGCAGGTACAAGTGTATATATCCCCTTTTTATAATCTGTTACTTGGCGATTAATAAAACTCAGGCGCGTCATTTGTATTATAGAACTTACGAAATAAAAATGTTTCTTGCGTTTTTTAAGTTGTGATTTTTAAAATTAATCTCATGACAGTTAAGGGCCAGCTATGTTTAAAATTTAAAATCGCAGTCAATAACACATTTTTTATAATTACGATTTGCCAGAACTTAAAAAACTAAAACTACTCCAGAATTTTTAAAGTACCATTAAAAGTTGTCCAAATGCTTTAGTAAATCAAACTAAAATAAACTTGCTACTAAATATATCTATACCTCTGCTAAAGTGTAATAAGTATGTTATTAAAAGTAATATTATGCAGTCTGCACTGTAACGAAAAAATCCTATACCTTTAAAATCGAAGTTGTCGATATTTTTAGGTAAAGTGCATTAATATCGATTACCATACGAAAACATCGGTAATCTACGATGAAACCGTTTATCGCTTGAGTTGTTCCAGACGAAGAGCGAGCGAGAGCGTGGTATAGGTACATATTAATTCAAGCGCGTGTGTTAAAATGAATTAGCACTATTAGTAAATGTTTTTGTGTGCGTGTTCTTCCAAAAACAAGCGCTGTCATTGAAAGAAAAGCTTTGGAAATTTCAGTACTGATATAATTATAACAGTCTTGTTGTGTTGGTTACTCTTGCAGCACAGAGGAAATATAAAACAAAAAAGGCATGTACATATGCTAAGGACTATTTGTGACCAAAACCAAACTTGCAGACATAACCTAAATATGCATAACCTATGTATATGGTGGTAACAATACAAGCGAATTGTCTCGCGTATGTATGTTATACGAGAGTGTACGTATGTGTGTATCAGTGCAGAAATAATTCTGTTCGTTTGTGTATCATGCATTGGAAAGTGTTTGTTGTACATGTGTACATACATATGTTCCATGTAAAGAGTTGCCACGCTTTAAAAATTTTATATAATGACGTAGAAGCATCTGTCAGTTACTTGAGTTGTGGCACAAATTTAAGCGTTTTCCTGGCCAGCTGTAAGAAAATTGACTAAGGCTACATGCTTCCACATTATTGTACATATATGTACGTTTTTACGATTGCCACCTTACACCCCTAGTTACTATCCAATGTTTGCTTTTCAACTAGGTGGCAATATTGACATCAGCCATAGGTGTATGCGTTTATTTAATACACTAGTAACTAGTACCGTCCCCGTTGTTGAACGTGCACCGAAATTAAAATTCAATTACATCGAAATATAATTATTCTTTGTTCAAAATTGTTGTCCACTCTCGAGATAATTTTAAATATCTGCAAATAAGTTTAAAGCTACTTTGTGAAATGTGAAAAACAGTAATTGAGTGTCGAATGTGTGTGTATGTTTTACTACACATACACACTTTGTGAAATCGTCAAAGTGGCTTGGCATGCATACACACTCAAACATACACACGTATATGTGTACTTATATAGAGAAAATCAACTTCTCGTTCGGTATAAGCAAAAATTCTTGCGAATATTCTGCGCTATTAGCGTAAATGCGAGTGTTTAAACTTAATATAAACGCGGGCAGTGCTAAATAATTTTCCTCTTCTATTGGTAGGTTCTTGCTGGCTCTCCATTTTGTAATATTTTCTAGTTTTCGCTTGTATGGTTTACATATAGGCAAACGGATACGCGAATATACTAGTTAATAGAAAATGACTTCTGTATATAGCCGTGTACAGAAAATGAATACATATATATACATGAGTACAACGTACATACATATGTGTTTATTTCGAATTGAATATTTAAATATGCATATATATATATAAATATATACAGGAGCTGTAAATACATGTGATTGATATGATCAATATTAATTATTTTCTTATATTGGGCAAAATAAATGCAAAATGCAAAGCTTATTTGTGCTTACTAGCGAGTGCGAAAATGGGAAAGGTAGACTTAAAATAGGGTGATTGCGTCAATGATGACCAGAGTTGTCAAATAAGTTCTCTACATTCATGTATGTATTCGTATGTACCATAATAGCGGTGTATTTATGTACATGAATTGATTTAAATATCACCACATAAAGTGCAAATTAAATATTGCAATATTTTTTTAAAATTATTTATGTATAAACTATTTCCTACACGTTAAGATGTACATTCATACATGTATGCATAAGAGTCAATACACACATTTATTAATATATATTTGATGGCGAAAACCGCCTGTTGTGCAGCAGCCCTGGAAGTATAGCGATTGTTATATCTGGCTTTTATAAGTGTGTATATTGCACACTACAGTTTGCGAAAACTCTAACGTACATCAATTTGAATTGAAATGTAATAAATACATTTTAGTTCGTTGGGTAAATATGCCTACCGAATTCATTAAAATCTCTTCCAACTGAATTCGGTTTGAGTGATGACGAATGTAATGATCACCCCATGAAGTCAACATTATCGAGATTGGCAGAAATCCATTGGAAAAGAGTTCGGGCATAATTTGAATTGATGTACTTAAGATTTTCGCCCAAAGACATTTAAGTGTCACCCCGTATCTGACTAGTAATGAAAACAAATCAGGAGAATTTTAAGATACGTTTTATTTATGAATCCTTGAAACAATTCAAATATATACTGCGCACTACAAATAATAAATGTTTGTCTTTTAATATTTATACAGAACTCGGAAGGCGCAAGGAAAAATATTTCTTATTTTTTTGTAGGAAATTAAAAAGTTAATAAAAATTGCGATAAATGCTTACGATAATGACGTTGAAAACCAAGTTGATGCTGGAATAGTTGGGAATGCCACTTTTGAAGCTGACGATCAGTTAGAACATTTGAGCACTATGCGCGAGGCGCTTTTTTCCCAAGATGGCTGGGGCTGTCAGCATGTCAACCAGGATACCAATTGGGAAGTCCCCAGTTCGCCAGAACCAACCAATAAAGATGCGGCCGGACCACCAATGTGGAAGCCAAGCATTAACAATGGAACTGATCTTTGGGAATCCAATTTAAGAAACGGTGGTCAGCCGACCGCTCAGCAAGTTCCGAAGCCGTCGTGGGGTCATACACCATCCTCTAATCTAGGCGGAACGTGGGGAGAGGACGACGATGGGGCCGACAGCAGTAGTGTGTGGACAGGAGGATCGGTTAGCAACGCCGGATCTGGATCGGCAGTGGGAGTGAACCAAGGCGGAGTTAATGTTGGCCCAGGTGGTGTAGTCTCATCTGGAGGACCTCAGTGGGGACAAGGTGTGGTGGGCGTCGGACTTGGATCAACTGGTAAGTGTAAGGCTTTAGGTAACAAATACATCGTGATATTATTAGACTATTATTTTAATTATGTACAGTGGTGCTCATAGACTTAAGCCACTGCCATTACCATAAACTGTTTTCTTAATAACTTTTTTGAAAGAAAATCTCCCATCAACAGCTCCGCTCTTCTTAAGCAGAAAGGTAATCCCACTCAATATTGAAGTAAATTTTTCAACCAATATGTTCCAGGTGGCTTAAGTATGTGAGCAGGACATTTTGAAGATGGTCTCAGATTTTTTAAGTTTTTCGTTGAATATCTATTTTTATAACTTGGTTATTCTTCTATTAGAACACTGATATATAGAACTAATGTGACACAAAAAATTGGAGCTGTAAAATATAAACTTTTCTTAATTTTCGTTTAAATTTTTGGTTAAAGTCTTGTGGCTTAAGTATATGAGCACCACTGTATGTACACCAATGTGTAGGCAATTCTTCTTTGTGCTACAAAATGGTCATTTTTTGCAATATTTGTATTCTGTTTGTAAGGGTAAGTAGGGTTACATATCCTTTAACTAAAATAAAAGTGGTTGTGGGCGTAATGCTGATGGGTGCTATTCTTTTGTGTTCTTGTTTTAGGTAAATACTAATAATTATTTTAAAGAATTCTACGATTCAACTTAACTTATCTTCTGCATTGCTTTTATAAATTAGCTTGTGAATGTCGTTTTTTTTATCATTACCCATTATCATGACCCATTGGGAACACTATTTTACTTTTTTGACAAATGCATCGAAATTTTAAAAACCATCCGCATTGAGGGCGACACCAATTTTAGTTTAGTTAATAGATATGTAACCCTACTTACCCTTTCAAACAGAATAAAAATATTGCAAAAAATTACCATTCCGTAGCACAAAGAAAAATTGCCAACACATTGGTGCTATTTTTGTTGGCGCAGCCAAAAAAAACACATGTAAGCTACATAATTGAATTGTGGCTCATAAAGTGTTAAGTGCTCGAAACAATTACTTACTTATCTTGGTAAGTTCCTGTGAATCAAACCACTCGGGACATCTACAAGTTTAATTCTCCTTTTTATTTTCAGTTAAGTTATTATAAGTTAAAGTTAAGTCTTATTGTACCCGTTACTCGTAGAGTGAAAGGTAAAATGTAACAGGACAAGGAAGCGTTTTCGACCCCATAAAGTATATATATTCTGGATCAGGATCACTAGCAGAGTCGAACTAGCCATGTCCGTCTGTCCGTATGAACGCTGAGATCTCGGAAATTAAAATAGGCAGAAAGTTGGGACTTTGCTTGCAAATTCTTGAGCTTCCTGCGAAGCGCAAGTTTGTTTCAGCAGGGTGCCACGCCCACTCTAACGCCCATAACGCTATAACCAGTCTAGCGCCTACATTTTTGAAGAAAAAAAATGGGATTTTGTTCTTACTATCAATACCCATATACATGCCAAAAATGATTGAAATCGGACCACTCATTAAAAAGTTATTACCAAATATTTTGCAATTCAATCGAGATTGCACACCACTTGCAGCAAATCAGCTGTTATCACTAATACGTCACCAAGCCGCTAGGGGCGCTATAGTCTAGTTGGCGCTATAGAAGAAGAGTGGTGTGTTAGTGAAAAAAGCTGAATTGTTTTAAGCATATCTCACTCCCTCTTGCAATTCCTTAGGCTGAGTAACGGGTATTTAATAGTCGAGGACATCGACTATGAAGTTTTCTCTTGTTAACTTTTTAATTCGGGTACATTCGATGAGATTTTGTTGTATTCTAGGAGGTAACGGATCAAGCAATTTATCTGGATCGACTGGAGTCGTCGCAGGTGGCAGCGGAAACTCAAGCAATACTGGCAATGGTTGGGGAGATCCTCGTGAAATTCGACCTTTGGCTGGAGGCGGATCGATGGACATTCGAAACGTTGATCATCGCGGCGGTAACGGTTCTGGTGGAACTTCGAGCGACCCCCGCGACATCCGAATGATCGATCCACGTGATCCCATTCGAGGAGATCCCCGTGGAATATCCGGTCGTCTTAATGGAACATCGGAAATGTGGGGGCATCATCCGCAAATGTCGCACAACCAAATACAAAATATGAATAAAATGGTTGGCCAAAGTGTGGCAACTGCTAGTACGAATGTTGGAGGGACATCAGGCCCGGGTATCGGACCGGGCGGTCCTGGTCCTGGTCCTGTATCAAGCAGTATCCCAACACAGTGGGGGCCATCCCAAGCGGTAGGCGTTGGTGTAAGTGGTCCCAAAGACATATCGAAGCAGATTAGTGGATGGGAGGAACCATCGCCACCGCCCCAGCGACGCAGTATTCCTAATTACGATGATGGCACATCCCTGTGGGGTCAGCAAACTCGTGTTCCCGGTGCAAGCGGTCACTGGAAAGACATGACTGATTCAATTGGCCGTGGTGGTCATCTGATGCGTGGTCAAAACCAGTCGGGTGGCATCGGTATCGCAGGAGTTGGCAATAGCAATGTTCCAGTTGGAGCCAATCCCAACAATCCTATGAATAGTGTAGTTGGACCCCAGGCTCGCCTACCATCTGTGGGAGGCGTGCAACACAAGCCAGACGGAGGAGCCATGTGGGTGCACTCGAACAATGTTAGTGGCAGGAACAACGTAGCTGCTGTCAACACTTGGGGAGATGACACTCACAACGTCAGTGTGGGTGCCCCCAGTGGTGGAGGTGTATCCAGCAATAATTGGGTGGATGATAAATCGAACGCAACACTGGCTCAAAACTCTTGGAGCGACGCAGCACCAGTTGGAGTTGGATGGGGCAACAAGCAAAGCAAACTGCCGGCCACTAGCACATCGTCTGGTTGGAGCACTGGGGCAGGTGTAGGCGTGGTGGATGGCGTTGACCTAGGATCTGAATGGAACTCACATGGAGGGCTAATTGGAAAATCTCAGCAACAGCAAAAACTAGCGGGACTTAATGTGGGAATGGTAAGCGTTATCAACGCAGAGATGATAAAGCAGAGCAAACAATATCGGATTCTTGTTGAGAACGGATTTAAAAAGGAAGATGTGGAGCGCGCATTAGTGACTAGCAATATGAACATCGAAGAAGCAGCCGATATGCTGCGTACCAACTCATCTTTGGCCATGGATGGTTGGCGCCGGCATGACGAGTCATCCCTTGGCTCATATTCCGACCACACGAGTTCAACAAGCAGCGGTGGATTTGCTGGTCGTTACCCAGTTAGCAGTGGACAACCTTCAATATCTTTTCCTCACGTAAGTTTTCTTACAACTACTACATTGTGTTTGGTTTGCGAAAACAATGAAGATTGCTTGAGTCGAGTGCCTCGACTCAGACACCCGTTACCCAGCTTAAAGGAGCGCAAGGGAGATGGAGATACGCAAGGAGTAAAGCGACTTTTTCCGAGATTGCGTGGTGCCACTTAGCGGCGAATAATTAGATTTTAACAAATTGTAGATAGGAATTGATAACTGAAACAAAAACCCTTTTACATCTTGACAATATCTTTTAAATATCGGCAACAGACAAATTTTAGTGTTATAGGCGGTTTTGTAAGCGTTATGGTGGGCGTGTCAATTTTTTTTTGCTCTATCGATAAGTATTGATTTAATTTGTATTCTAGCATTAGCCCTTTAGGTATCACAGTTTTGGGAGGTTTGTGGGCGTGGCACCCTGCATAAATAAGCTAGCTCTGCGTTACAATTTTGAAATATTTTTAAAATTTTAAAAGGGAATTGGTTCTGACTATCAATACTCCGTGCCAAAAATGGTTTATGGGAAGATATACATGTAAATCGAAATTATTTGACCAAACAATTTTTTTGCTTTACAAAATAGTATATAATATGGACTATACGTTTTGAAAATTTTAAGTTTGAATTCGAACCATAAGTACCTCAAATCGAGCATGAAGGCGAGGAACTAAAACTGGCTCACATACGCATTGAAAACGTTAAACTGCTTCACTTAATTTTTGTGTTTTTTTTTCTTTTTTATGAACCTGATTCACAAAAATTTAGGCAACATATCGAAGTGAGTTAAAGCTGATTCTCATTAGTAATAAATTACATTCTATTTTAACCTTTGAACTACATTTAAACATTTCCGCAGTGCTACGATGATTGCTTAATTATTTCCTTTAAAAAAATCACGAAAAATACCTTCATTTCAATCGTTTACAAGTATATTCCCCTAAGTCGGAGCATTCTATAAAGCAAGTTAAAAGCAAATAAACAGTCGATGGGCTGCATACATATCTCCATCTCCCTTGCACTCCCTTTATCTAATAGTCGAGGCCGTCGACTGTAGCGTTCTTTTTTGTTTTGTTTAATAATTCTCTGGCTGGCAAATGTGGCATGGTTGGTAAAAATTCATATATGTTTATTTAAAAATATTTTCTTTTGCAGAATAACCTTATGAATAACATGGGTGGTACTGCCGTTACTGGAGGAGGAAACAATAATGCAAGCATGACAGCTTTGCAAGTGCAAAAGTATTTGAATCAAGGCCAACACAGCGTTACTGTAGGACCGCAAAACGTTGGCAACACTCCTGCCGTATCCGTCGGATTTGGTCAGAACACGTCCAACGCAGCAGTGGCAGCAGCAGCTTCCGCAAATATAGCAGCAAATACAAACAATCAACCATCGGGTCAACAAATTCGCATGCTTGGCCAGCAGATTCAGTTGGCCATTCATAGTGGTTTCATATCTAGTCAGATATTGACTCAACCGCTTACACAAACTACCCTTAATCTATTAAATCAACTCCTTAGCAATATTAAGGTAACTTTATACTTAACAGATGTTACATGTGGTTTATCTAATGCAGTTTATCAAAACATACATTTTTAAACTTTTGCAAAAAGTATTACAATGTCTTTAGTGACCCTATAAACGTTATAAATTCTTGATCAGCATCAACGCCGAAACGGTCTAGCCATGACCGTCTGTCCGTTCGCCCTTTTGTCTCTTCGCGAATAAGTTTCGCAGTTAATTGCACGATCCAAAAAGTCTTATATTTATTGCAGGAAAGGGAAACTTTATCCTATAGCTCTCATAGGCATTACCGCAGTAAAATTAAAATTCTGTGGGTTATACAATTTTTTAAGATTTCGTTTTTGCTTTGCGTTTTCTTATAAACAAGAATTAATGCCGAAATAGATAGACCCTTGCAGAATTGTTTTTAAATATACAACGGTATGATTTTAATTGCATGATATGGTATAATCTGCAAGGGTATATAAACTTTGGATTGTCGAAGTTAGCTACCTTTTTTGTTTAATATCGGATAACCCTTTATCGATCGCTTTAAGTGTAGGTACGCATATCATATAACCACTTAACATATTATTTGAATGTTCTTAATTTTCTTTTCTGAATTAAAATATTTTCTTTCAGCACCTCCAAGCAGCTCAGCAATCCCTTGCTCGCGGAGGAAACGCAAATCCAATGGCAGTGAATGTGGCTATATCTAAATACAAGCAGCAAATTCAGAATTTACAGAACCAAATAAATGCACAACAGGCTGTCTATGTGAAACAGCAGAATATGCAACCGACTTCGCAACAACAGCAACAGCCCCAGCAACAGCAACATCCCTCTGTACATTTAAATAACTCAGGCAACGACTATTTAAGAGGTCACGATGCAATAAATAATTTGCCAAGCAATTTTTCTGAGCTCAATATAAACAAGGTAAGACCAAATAACAATTTAGTTGTTCAATACTAAGAGATTTTTAGGAGATTCCCGTCGGGTAACGTCCCTGGGAGACATGGGTTTCTCGAGCGTCAATGTGAGAGCTAACTCTGACAGACACCTATCACATACACTGGTTGGCATAAGTATTTTGACGAAACAAAAGTTATACTCATAATTTGAACTTACTTCTTGTAAACTTTGGCATCAATGGATAGGAAATTTAAATGCCGTTTAAATGATACAATACATTTCTTAACTTATTCAGTACTTATTGAAAAGGACAAATTTGTGTAAAAATCTACTTTTTAAACTTTTTTCCACGTCTTGAAAACTTAAATTTTTTGATTCAAAAGTTTATCTAAACAAAAAAATAGTAACTACAAAAAGAATTTTTGTTTTGTCAAAATACTTAAGACGACCAGTGTATGTATTTCGTTCTTACTCACATTTTTTGGTGAAGAGCCATTATAACATAAGTTTTTGCATTTTTTACAATCTATTTTTTATTTAATAAAGTAAATTTAAAAAATATTTGAACTTTTCTTGAACGGTAGCCACGACTCCGGCCAAATGAGTGATTCAAAAAGAAAAACAGCAATTTAATATAGATGAACGTATTTTTCGTATAAATTAAAACAATTCTAAAATTGTTGTAAAGCGCGGATTTAAACTTTAAAAAAAATATTTTTGTTAAAAAGTTTCGTTGAATTATAAAAACTACGTGGCTTATTCAAATTGTTTTAATTCATACTGTAGCCACATGTTTGCTGAACATATTTCATTAATATAAATGCGATCGGTCAAGTCGTTTTTTAGAAATCGTGGCTACCAGTTGAAAAAAACGTGGTTCTCGCGTGTTGGGCATGAACGCCCACATCTGTGGCGTTTTTAACTGAAATGTATTGGTTTCATCAATACCTATCGATTGACCTTAACAAAAGCGCCCAGATTTTAAAAAATGAAATGTCCGAGTAAATTGAAATTGCTTTTATTGATCAATATCTATCTGAATGCTGAGAGTCGTACCAACCGCATTGTTACTTTAAAAGTCATGACTAACTAAGTTAAACGCTGCCATCCACTGTTTGGCGCTGGCGTGGGTGGCTTTGGAGTATTACTTTAATTGAATTTTAAAACATACTAACGAGTATCTGGTAGTCGAGGCATTCGTCTATACATTTTTTTTTCTTGTTTTCTGAAAAATTAAATTTTCTGGGAATCCGAAAAGTCCGACAGAAATAGCTTAGAGTGGAAGTGGGGTGTGCTTCTATTGTGCATCAATTTCAACTCTACACGTGTTCTAGACTAATTTAAGCGCTAAGCTACTCTACGAGTAAAGAGTAAAAAACAATGAAAATGCATGTTGTATAACGCAGTTTTAACAAATCAACGAAATGTTTTCAGCCAAGTGGATATCAAGGAGCGTCCAATCAACAATCCCGATTAAATCAGTGGAAGCTTCCAGTATTAGACAAGGACATCAACTCTGACAGCACGGAATTTTCCCGTGCTCCGGGTGCAACTAAACAAAATTTAACGAGCAACTCAAGCAACATAAGCTCTTTGGGCCTACAGAACGATAGGTATGTAAAAATAAAAAATAAATAATAAAAATAAGAAGAATGAAGAATTGCCAAAAAAGCTAGGACTAAATTTAGAAATGTTCGCTTAAGAAAATAGCTCCCTATTGTAACAAAAAATAAACAATTTCTAGAAAACAGAATTTCATTAATAGGTATTGCATATAACTCTGATAGCCATATTATTAGTGTTTTTGCTCACTTTGTTTTAAACGTATAATCATTTCGTGTAATCATTTTGTTTAAAATGGATTCAATTGCTAAAAAAAGTTCAATGTAATATTGCAGCTAAATTCTATCTCTCGTCTAGAAGAGTTCAGTAAGATTTTAACCTTCAAGAATATGGTATTTTCACGATTTTCTTACAACTGTCACTGTAACTATAAAAGTTTCCGGTTTCGGGTTATAAATCTAGAGGTGTAATACAGCGGTCGGCAGCCGTTCATTAAGGGAGCAAAGCCTCTGCTGTCTGGTACAGCGTACCTCATCGGCTGGCACGCACACATCGATGTGTTGCCTCGAGAAAATTACTCGCACAAATAAGAAACAAAATTACATCGTATTGTGTGCCGACCGCTGCTATATACGAGGGCTGCTATATAAGTTTCTGGCCAAGGTCACTTTTAGCCATATTAAAACCATTTGGCCTTTTCTCAAAAGGCGTTTGTAAGATCGTCACAGGTGACGAGTAATGGACTTATGCTTATAAGCCCGAAACAGCAATCGATCGTGTGGGTCTTTAAAGACCAGACAAAAATCTTGTTTTTGGATTTACCTTTAAATGGAGTTTCGTTTTAACAATTTTAATATATACGTATATATTTTAAAATAATAATTACTGTATTCATTGTAACATTTTGTCATCGAATTTTATAGTACATGGTCAACAGGACGCAACATTGGGGATGGTTGGCCAGATCCCTCATCTGATAACGAGAATAAAGACTGGTCAGTTGCACAGCCAACTTCAGCAGCAACTGCTTACACGGACTTGGTCCAAGAGTTCGAGCCAGGCAAGCCATGGAAGGTAAAACTTTTCAATTCCACAAAACCGAAACATATCCAAGCAGAAATTTGTTCTTAAGGGTTCTCAGATCAAAAGCATAGAAGACGATCCCAGTATTACTCCTGGAAGCGTTGCTAGATCTCCACTATCCATTAATTCGACGCCAAAAGATGCTGACATATTTGCCAATACTGGCAAAAACTCACCGACTGATTTGCCGCCACTAAGTTTATCGTCGTCTACATGGAGTTTTAATCCCAACCAAAATTTCCCAAGGTAGTTTAAAAGTGTTAGTAGTGTAACAAAATACTAAAATTATTATTTTTATAAACGGTCTAGTTGGTCTGACAACAGTCAGCAATGTGCCGCCACTTCTGAGCTTTGGACAAGCCCCCTAAATAAATCGTCATCTCGAGGTCCCCCGCCTGGATTGACTGCCAATTCAAATAAATCTGGTAACGGTGGAAATAGTAGTACGTCAACACCATCTAATATTACCGGCGGTGCTAATGGTTGGCTACAGGCTAGAAGTGGTGGTGTTCAAACGACAAATTCAACTTGGACTGGTGGTAATACTTCTTGGGGCTCTAGTTGGTTGCTTCTTAAAAATCTAACAGCTCAGGTATGTTTAAATACTCAGATACATTTTTACATAAAAAAATACGTGGTTTTTATATATAAATATTATACAGGGGGGGTCCACAATTGTATGGACATTCGTATTATCGTAGTATTATATTTATGCTGTGGTCAGCATAAAAATTTTGGGCGAACAGGCTACCTTACAGGGTCCATACGATGGAATAGGTACGAATTTGATGTTTTTCAGCTATTTGCCTATATTTCGTTCATCAATTTGTACCTATTTTAATTATATGCTTTCGGTTTCCTTTAGGTTACAAGACTAAAACAACATAAATAGGCAGCCATAGCTACTCAGGCTTTAGGTTTGTTAGGTTTGTTAAATGTTTAATAATTTACATTTATCTGAAATGTAGGAGTTTACCTCAAAAATTCTGCAAATGAATTTGCCGAAGTTTTATTGTCGAATACTAAAAAATCTGAGTTTTTATTGAGTTTTTACTGAAAACATTTGATAGCTAGAGTATTTATTAATTATTATTTATTAAATGTAATTATAAATAGATACAAATTTTAAGTAAAACGCCAATATTAGAATGCAAGAACATTATTTTGATAAACAGGAATTCCCTGGTGGCAAACACAGTTATTTAATTCTATAACAGATCAAACAATAATTTAACTTTCAATTGGCAAAATAATCATTAGTTTCAACAAAATCCTACCATTTCTTTTTAATTTATTGCGCCTTCGTCGTTTTCTTTAGAAGCTGACATGTCAAAGTTATAGTAAAATCTCAAGAAATTCATTTGCACAGTTGTGACAGAACGATATTATACACCCATAATTTAATTTGGTGTAAAACGAGACATCTCATATAATCATTTATGAAGAGTAAAACTTTCGCTTTCACTCGCTTTCAGCTAGAGCACTAAAGTGTTGTACACTAATATTTGAGTTACGGAAAACACAGAATGTTGCAGTATGTTTAAGTGCGGTATATTTGAGTGCTGTGCACAACTGAACAGTACTGTTGAGTGAGTAATGGCTGCATTTTTGCAGGTCTCTAGGTAACTCGGTTTGTTCAGATGTTGCCTTGGTCTGTTCTGGTCTCTGTTTAGATGCTCACTTACAAGATCAGTTCTTGTCCACTACGGGGAGCAATGGCTCCCTTTTCGTTACTCAATTTGGCAACTAAATTTATTCTAACGGTCCGATCGGTATGATTGCGGATTGAGTATACTTAAAAATTTTAACTGAAATAAAATGCAAAAATAATCGTATAAGATGTATTATTTTTATACATCTTTGCACCCTTTCTGGTCAAAAATGACGGCCTTAAAAAAACACAATTTTAAGAGATTAATAAACACACATAATTTAGATAAGGGTCAGGCTGGGGGTATCCGAAATTTAATTACTTTCATTTAAACCATTAAGCTTTGTAATCGGATAATTTTTTGAAGAGAAGTCGGTTTTGACTTGTTTTATTTGTGGCATAATTATGTTAGAGCAAAAACAGTCTCTAAAAATAAAACTCAAAAATAATGTGTAACTTAGGTCCCTGTTATATACTGAGTGGCAATGCCTTGCAATGTCATAGATCATTTTCTTTCAAATATTACCTATAAAATTAAAAATATATCTTTTTATATTTTCAACATTTTTAGATTGATGGTTCTACCTTACGCACATTATGTATGCAGCATGGCCCTCTTGTTAGCTTTCACCTATATTTGAACCAAGGAATTGCCTTATGTAAATATACAACTCGAGAGGAGGCGAACAAAGCGCAAATGGCGTTAAACAACTGTGTTCTCGCCAACACCACAATATTTGCTGAATCTCCAAGCGAGAACGAGGTGCAGAACATAATGCAGCACTTACCACAAACAACTTCATCTGCAAGCTCTACTGGAACTAGTGCTGGTAACGGCGGAGGAGTCGGCACTCCATCCAATAGTGGGGCCAGTAGCTCGGGAGCTAGTCTATCCGGAAACAGTAGCAACGGCAACGGTAACGGAAGCAGCAGCGGCAGTGGTGGCGGCACCGGTAATAATGGCAACAACAGTGGAAACAGCAGTTGCACCGGCGGCAGCAACCCAAACACCAGTGTGGCAAATTCGAATCTACTTAATTCTAGTGGAGGGTCCGTTTCAAATTCATCCGGTGGTGCTGCTAGCTCTGGTACGGGTTCTGCAGTAAGTGGAACAGCGAGTGGTAATACCATTAATGGTGGACCGGCAAACAATGCTGGCTCAAAGACTAATGCAAGCAATGTAACTATAACTGGTGGTCAGTCTAGCGCTTCAAGCCTAACTAATAGCACCAACTCAACATGGCGTCAAACTAGCCAAAACCAAGCTCTTCAGGGTCAAAGCAGGCCATCAGGCAGAGAAGCTGACTTTGATTATATATCTCTCGTTTATTCCATTGTTGATGATTAAAAGATCAATGACCAGTTCCATTGGTCATTGGCCATTGACTATCGCATTCTGTGACTCAAGACACACACCCAAAAGCTTCAAATGATTCGATACTAAGTATGTATGGAAAGCAAGACCATGTTGTGAGGAATATAAAAGTGGATCGACTGATAGACGAATGGACTTAGAATTTTGTATGCCCGTAGATTTATTTTTCTTCATCGTTCATAGATCTAAACTTGTATATGTAAGTTTAAATTTAATCAATATAAAACAAAAACAAACATCCGACATATAGATATACATATATATGATGTCAAAAAATGCTATACTTGATGGTTTGCTACAACAAAAAAAGCATACCTTCCTATTTAAGTAAAAGTGTTTTGACTCTGGCGCCCATAGCTTATCTTGGGAAACGGGGAAAAATTTCAACGGTGTATATGTGTGCATGGTAAAATATACTGTAATAAATATTATGTATTGCAACATCTATGCATATATTTATGGAAAATTTAAATTTTCAGTAACGACTGAAATCGTGTGTCGGTAGCATTAAGGGACAAAGTCTAGTGTAATTATCTAATTTCAAGCCTTTGATGTCCAAGTTTGACATAGAGACAACATATACTAGATACATATATATGTATATCTTTTGTGTACATAGATATATGTTAGGGCTACGTCCTATTTTGCTGCTTGTGCATATCGATCAAATGCCTACTATTCATGAGTGTTTTTGTGTTTCCAGTAAGGAAAAATACCTGTGTTATATTCATTATAGGAAGTTATAATCTAATTACGGTTTTGCTTTCATTAAAGCATTCCCACCGAAAAAATTCGGTTATACATTATAAAATCACAATAAAAATATCAATGAAGTTATTTATTGCCTTTGAGTATTGAGACATTTTTGTTAAGCGTGGGAACTAATTCTATTAATATATGTCTGTTTAGTATAAGTCATTTAATTTTATGAAAACTTAAATATGTTTAAGAAGTATTGTCTCGTTTACTGTATTGCATGCGGACCCATGCTCTAAATTGATTGGATAAGTGGGAGGCACTTTTGGTAGTGTCGCTAGTGAAAGAAATATATAGATTTTACAAATCGTTGGAAATGCGACAGTCCGAACATTCAATCAAGCGTAAAATATTTTATTTTGTTTTGATTAGCTTAGTGAACAGTCGATTAAAAGGTGGACAAAGGAACATATTCCCGCGAAATTTTGTTCTGTAGATTTTCACATATTTTGGCCGATGTGGTTTCCACTTAAGTAGAAAAAAACAATGTATGACAAATGACAACAGTAATTTCTTAGCTTCGACGGATCGAAAACGAACATTTTTTGAGTGGGCTCGAGGCTGATGATAAAAAATAAAACAATGGAATGAACATTTTCCATCGCAAAAAACATGGAAAAAGGCACGTGCAAGAGCGGATCCGTTGTCAAAAGGTGGATTGCATCTGTTGAAGGAACTGCTTTACCGTTTACGTTACCCTAAAATGATTCTTACCATAAAAAATCGAAATATTATTTTTGTTTATTTGTTTTTGCATGATCTGTCGTACCGAAATATTCAATTACAGAACTTGTTAGCGGCCGGGCTGCTGTATCTGTAGCGCACAGGGTTAAAGCGTTTGGTTGGATTTTAGTCTTTTATACTCATGCAGAGTATATAATGATTTCAGTGAGAAGTGTGCAACGCAGAGAAGAAGACGTTTCCGACCCCATAAATGATATTATATTATTCTTGATCAAAATCCCTAGACCAGTCGATCTAGCCATGTCCGCCTGTCCGTCCGTTTCTACGCAAACTAGTCTCTCTGTTTTAAAGCTGTCCGGATGAATCCTTCCCAAAAGTCTTATTTATTTTATTATATCCTATAGCTCCAATTGGGATTTTTTCACGACCGAGGGGCGCTGGCGTGAATGAACAAAACATTTTTTAAATCTAAAAAAAATATAACTGGTGTTCTTTGACATAATTAATTCTACTCTTGGGAATACTCTATTAACATTTCAGAATTTCAAGTAAAATTAAAAAATAGGAACGATCGGATAATTAATGTCAAAATAATACAAAGACCGTTATATTTCGTCTTTTATAAACATATACGGGTAGTAAATTTAAATGGAATTTAAATTGAATTTTCTGTAATTAGTTTTTAGTTTTCTAAAAAACGGAATGCTCTGTACGTACAATGCTCCCACGGGAATGACCTGTAAGGGCACATGAGTGCCACTCCATATACATATATACACATTTGTTTGGAATTTTTCGAAGTCGAATGGAATATCACCTCTGATATGTCCTTCGTGATTTCGTGTGTGACAAAATATAAAATGGCACCGATAAAAGTGGTAAAAACAGATTTATAAAACAAATTTTTTTTTTTATATGTATATATATGTGGCACATTTTTTTGGATCAATCGATAGGTATTGAGGAGACAAATACATTTCAGTTAAAATTTTTTATCTAGCATGAAAATTGTGTGCGTCACAAGTTTAGGCGGATTGTGGGCGTTAAAGTGGACGGCATATTCGAGTAACAAACTTGCACTGCGTACAAGGCTGCGAAATCTAGTTCTGAGATCCGAATTTTCTATCTTTGATAGTTTCCGAGATATCCACGTTCATATTTATGATTTTTTTAAGTTTGTGGGCGGTTTTAGGGCGTTAAAGTAGGCGTGGCTCAATGGGTCAATCGATAGGTATTGATGAGAACAATACATTTCAGTCACAATTGTGATTCTAGCATCAAAACTGTAGGAGCCACAGTTTTTGGCGGTTTGTGGGCGTTAGAGTTGGCGTGGGACATTGCTGAAACAAACTTGCGCTGCGCAGGAATCTCTGGAACTTGCATGCCTATTCCCAGTATTGTACCTCTTATAGTTTCCGAGATCTCAGTGTTCATACGGACAGACGGATATGGCTAGATCGACTTGTCTAGTGATGCTAATCGAGAATATACATATATACTTTACGGGGTCGGAAACGTCTTCTGACTGAAATCATTATACCCTCTGTAAGGGTATTATATTATATTGGGAAATAAAAATGCAAACAATAAATAGTTTTCTTCATAAAGAAACATTTTCTGTTGGAAATTCCTTCTGAGTATCAATGACAGTGAGTATCTGGTGAATTCTCGTATCTTATACTTGGGGCAACCTTTCTTTATTTTTCCCTAATATGCATTTGTGCGGCTTCGGTAGTAGCTTTTAAAAGAGAATTCACTTTAGTCAGTCGTTTCTTTCATGCCAAGGCACCGTGCTCGTAATGTATTTAATAACAAGTGGCTTACTATTACTGCCATTTATTTCATATACTTTGGGAGTTCCTCCCTTAGTAAGAGTTGGTAAAATACTCCAGTAACTATTCCAAATATGACTCTGATATCTTCTTTAAGGTGCAATATTTTCAAACCAACCCGGAAAGTATAACTCGGAGTTGGCGTTTAGATATGCCATTCATAGGTTAAATCTGGATAAAAGTCTCTTGCCTGAGACAACCGTTGAATACTATATTGAATATGTAAATCGATTGGATTCGTTTGAGACAGTTCAAAAGGGTAAGCTTATACCGAAATTTAAAAACGAACTAATTGTATTGAACCGTATCCGTACACTAGTGTGCAAACTTGTTCATGTTGGTGTTCAAGCTATTTTTAGCCCAACTGACTCTGTTTTGGCGACCCATATAAATTCAATTTGTGATGCCCTGGACATACCAAGTATTGGCCGGTCGGCTCACGACTTTGCCATTAACGTGTATCCATCCCAGCAATATGTAAATCAAGCGTTTAATGATGTCATACACTATCTTAATTGGACCCGATTTGGAATTTTGCATGAAAAAGACTATGGTAAGTCCCGAAGAACGCACCGCGATTGTAGTCCAACCAAAACTAAAAAAATTACATTTTGAATTCAGATTTATTTGATTTTTTACAGGGACGTTGAACGAAACTTTAAAAACTATTAAACCTAAAGTATTTTCGAACTGGAAAGCAGTGCATAATAGTCCATAAGTTTAGGGTTCTTTCAAAAACGACTTTTTTATGTAACATTTTTTTTATAGATTTCATTGCCATTCGGTTTTTTATTGATGTTGTCATAAAAGGGGTTTCACCCCACTACTTATTTTAAATAAGTCTACCGATTTTAATGCAACACCGCCGTCTTTTGTGTTGAGCATACCAAATTTGTACAAGATAAAAATTAAAAACCAAATCATTAAAGCGGACTTTAATATTATATAAAAAACGTTTTAAAGATGGTAAGTAGGCGCATAAAATAAAAAATTTTACAGTACGTTTTTTTGTAACGGTCAAAATAAAATTTTTTTTTTTTAACGTCCTAATTTTTTAGGAATTAAACATTTTCAGTTAAATTTCATAAAGTCGCTATAATTTGCTTCAGCGGAAAATGAGACCGTAGCGCAAATTGATTCAGTATTTCAGTGCTTTTATTCAGTATTTATCACGAGTTTAGGGGATTTTTGCACTTGCCGTTTCGGAATTTTTGAGAAGGAAATGCATTTGGACTGCATTGTGCCCGTTATAACGGCTATAAGTTGCTGTTGGTGCAGGACCAAGGAACATATCAGCAGCTCGGAAATCAGAAAACAATCTCATCTTGAAAATAAATATTGCTATGCTATTTTTAAGAAAATGACCAACCTTCACCTTCGTCCTTCCTGGTACATTATTTAGCTGAAGAACAAGCAATTTGAAAACTTAAAAAATTGGTACAATCAAAGAATCGTATGCGAGGAAAGTGTTATAAATAATTAAAAGGGTCCCAAAAGTTGTAACTTTTAAACTTGTTGCCTGAATGGAAATCTCATTCTTGATCAATTTCATAAAAGCAATGAAATAATCATTTGGCTCTGAAAACATTCCACACGTTGGCGTACATAAGCGTACAAAATCACAACGTGTTTAGTTTTGAGTTGTTTTCCGTTTTTTTTTGGAGCAACTGATTTTGGACGTGCTCTCCCTTCGATCAGCTGTTTGATTCAGCAACTTTTTATGTCAAAAAAAATCCGCTTAAAATTGAAAAGCTATTTTAAGCGGCAGAGGCTATGAACAAAAGAGGCCGGCGTTACATAAAAAATAGGTTGTCAAAGTTTTTCGGCTGAAAAAATTGAATCACACCGTTTACAAAAGGAAACCTACACGAAGGTGACCTTGGTTTTCTGCTAAACTGTTTTATGCACAACATATGTACGTCTCTAATATTAATGGTAGCGCCCGACAAAGTTCAAACTAGTTGGTAAAATTCAAGAGGCGCAGGCATAAAATATGCCTTTAAAAATATTCGTATAGGAACCGAAATTCGTTTTATTGATTCTATTCGTAGATAGTACTTTGACAAGGAATACTATCTCTACAATCCATCAGCAAACTGATTTCATATGCTTTTTTGAAGTTGGGAAAATCTGTAATTTTTGTGTCTGTTAAAAGCTGTAAGGCCTATGTTAAGAACCGTTTACATCTTTTATCGAAGACAACAGGGCTCTAACTATCTTTCACAACTCTTAAAATCTATTTAAAATCGAGCAGGCATGTTTTCTGCTACTCCTAGGAATGTCATCTAATATTTCAGAATTTCGAATTAAATTTTTTAAAAATCGTTTGTCTAAGCCATTTTGCTACCATATGGTGGATCGAAAATTTAATGTCAAAATAATACAAAAAGTCAGTCGGAAGGTCAATTTTATTTATTTTAACAAACCCTTCAAAGTATGCAACCAAAAATTTGTTTTGAAAACCCCCTTATCCCCGCAGACAACTGAAACCCTCACATAACTCGAGACATAATATTTTGTAATAACTACGGTATTTATTTTGAATAACTTGAATAATTGTATAAT